TTGACCACCCTGGCATAGGGGGCCCTGGGAAAAGCCCTCCGTTGGATTGGAAAAAGCGGCCTACATTGATCCCTTTTGGAAAAGCCGTCCACCGTCCATGATCGGGTGGTTGGATAAAATGGATCGATTTTTGTCCAGTTTGACACCACTCCGCGCCCCGCTTCCCGCACACGTCGCATGCTGAACGCGCCAGTTACGGAAGCTGCAGCCGAAGGAGATGACCGCCCCCATGCACGCGATTTTGGAGCCCAAGGCACTGGGCGGGTGGTCTACTAGAAAACATAGCATCTGAAAATGGGTAGGTCTATTTGGACATAGGAATAGACTCAAATTCAATGGTGTAGGAAAATGAGTATGTTAGGTCATCTGAAAATTTCAAGACTCAAATTCAATGGTATGGGTCTATTTGGGTGACTACTGAGCTTAATAGGTAACAAGCAGTCAGAGTGAATGAAACATGTGGACCAGTCAAGGTGAATGAAACATTCATGTTGACCAAAACACGCAAACTTTTTTGTTCATCGTGTTCAGTAAGGACCTTTGCTAGGATGCCAGGGACTTGTTCTGTTATACACCCCTAAGTCAGTCAGAAGCACACACACTCACCTGTTGGCGGGGCAATGGTTTCGTCACCGCTGCCCTCCCCCAGCAGTCACTGGGGAAGATTACACCAGCTCACAGGGAGGATTTGTCAATTTCGACTGATCGGAGAGCGTTTCGGCGCCGGTTTTTGCACCGGATGGCATTTTTCGGAAGAATGCGACACCTTTGTGATCGTGATCAAGTAGATTCATGGCCATGTTTTTCTCAAATATGGGACAGTCCAACAAAATCTGTGCGCACGTTTGTCTTTGGTCTTGGAAATGATCCATCCCTACAAGTCCAGTCCTGGTCTTTGACGCATCCTTGAGTAGTGTTTTTGTATGATCAAGTCCAGCAAAGTGAGGTCCAACTGACCTGTAGCAGCAGTTCGGAAAGGGCGATCCATGGCTTAATGGAGGTTAGGGGTGCCCCTGTCACATCCTCACTGGATGGGACGAGCCGCACCACCCCGAGCTGTGTGACGCCCTCGTCTTGAAGCTGAACGCCTCAGGTGGACCTTCCCGGGGACTACGCCCAGCGGAGGATCAACTCGGCACTGGTGCCCGTCCACGTGGCCTGTTTGGATTTCGTCACCGGGAGGGACGTCGTTTTGTGGGTGAAGTTGTGTGTTGAACTATACAGCAGTCTGAGTGGAACGATGGTGTTCCGAGTGCTCAAGTGTACGAGGTTTCTTAAGTTTGGCAAAGGATGCCAATTGAATAGAACGGCCCTCCCAGTCATCGACCGTGGCCGACTCCGTGGGAAAAGGGAAACGCGTCTTCCAACCAGCCAGGTCATCCATGGCCATCCACTTCCAGGATTTGTTGGATTGAGGGTAGGTCACCTTCCCCAGTGCCATCCATGGGACTGGAAGATTTACCTACATTGACCCTCAAAACATCTTTAAATCATCCCAATGTAGCGGATAATGTAGGGAAATATTCCATATACAGAGAAGCAAACTCTTGACGTTTAAGTTTACTAGAACAACGTCGAGCACCTCTAGCATCGTTAAATTGAGGTTCGAGAACCATCAATGTCGGAGGTCTTGTTCAACCACTGTCGTGCATCCAGTCCCTACTCAGAACCACTTCGATTCAACTCACTTCTGAGTGGAGTGCCCACTTCTGTGCAGTAGTTGCGCAGTTGTGTTTACTCACTTCTTGGGCTTTTTCGGTCTCTCCACTGCCCTCCACGTCGGTCCTCTTCGCTTCCTGGCTCCATGCGCTTCCAACCTTTGCGGTGCCAACAGCGGAACCAGCGCCGCATCGACCGTCCCCGAGGACGGTCCGATCGGGCGAGCCGCCGAGCTCGGTTGGGAGGTCGAATTGAGGGGTAACAATGAATGAAGATCGTATACATATACAATAATTATATATATATATATACAGTATAAGAGTCTCCTACCATGTGATCCATGAAATTCGTCGGGATGGAACTCTTTTGGCCGGACACCTTTGGGGGGGTCCTTGAGTCCGTACCTGGAGTAGAGATCCAGCAGGTCCATTTTGTTTTGAGTAGATGGATGTGGCCACAAGAAAAGGAGACCTTTGATTTTTTGGATGGGTACTGTATTTGAAGGTTGGCTGGTCTCATCATGTGTTTCACTTTGCCATTTTGGGGGTGAGACTCGGTGATTTGCCTCCATGCTTGAGCTTTTTGGGGGGGAGATTCCCTGGCCCCATGGGTAGACTGGTCTAATTCCCTTCTTCAAGGGGGTCGAACTGGGAGGTCTCCTATATTTAATATACACATTCAAAAACCATAAAAGAAGCACTTCGGGGAGCCTAAACGATGGTAGCTTGACCTGCTTAGTAGCTTGTTCTGTTCGTTTCAACCCCCGGTTTTGACCCACAGCCCATATAATCAGTTATCACTTTTGAACTTGGATTTGGATGTCTCAGGACCAGCACCAGACATTCCAGAGGACCAGCGCTAGCCTCAGACGTTTTCCCGCAGTGTGACGAGGAAGGAATCGATTCCTTCCAGTTTCAAAATAGAATATCCAAACCCTGTTCGGTGTTGTGTCATTTTGGGTTCCAGTGGAAGGCAGCTTCAAGAAGAGCGGATCAACACGTTTTCCTGTATTGAAGGAATTGAAGGGTTGTGTTTTCTGGATAATTTTGTCACCAGTGTGCAGACTCAGCGGCAGTTTCTGTGAGTTGCAAAAGGAAAGCACTGCTATAGGTACCAGCTGCGGTCGAGAGGCAAGAAAGTCCCATGTCCATCGCTGAGTGACTCTCATACCCCAGACACAGCCTGCCAATGCCTGCCATATATATATATATACCTATACATTAGGTGGTTGACACACCGTCAATGTAGGCCTATACCATGGCCCACTAAGGAGTGGTTGATGGACACCCCACTTATCCTCTAAGGGGCTTCGTGGGGCTAGACGCCTCTTAGGGTGCTTGTGGTGCCCTGGTATCATGTTTTCTCGGTTCTATGAAGTCTTTGCGTCCAGTCCCTTAAGCAGGGCCCTCCCCTCCTTCGCTCCATCCGGTTTCGAAGCCGAGGAATGGGGATGAAATACGTGGCCGCATACCTGATGGCGGTGAGGATCTCAGGTCGTTCCACCAACTGTGGCGGCACCCGAGATCCCGGTCGGTGACGACGGTGCTTTTGGTGGAACGAACGAGAGCGCGGAACATGTGAGTGGTCTCGTGTGAGCTTGGTGCATTCCACTCACTGACTGGTCTAAAGCCACCTATTGAGCCCACTCACTAAGCCATGAGTAGCTCTGAAGCATCTGAATCTTTGGCGCCCTGAAGCATCTGAAGCATCAAGGCCCTGGCGGGCAAAGAGAGCCCCAGTGCGGACGACATCAAGGCTGGCACGTGGAGAACCAACATGTCCGTCGAACGGGACCACGAGAACGGCTGTTCGTGAACTGGTTCTAAATGGAGGTCCGTTGGACCTCAATTTTACTGGAGTTGATTCAACAAAATCCCAAAACTACTCAATAATGAGGTTTTCAAGACTATAGCTTTTTGGACCTGGATCGGACCTGTAGCGCCTATAGGGTATGGTTGTCCCGGGTTGTACCCCACTGGCCTGCAACTTGTTTCCTCTATCGTTGATCATCCGTCCCAAATACGTAAAAGCTCCCTGGTCACCTTTTCTAGGGACTATTGTGGACTCTTGCAGCGATAAAAACTCCTTGGCAATTCGCTGCGATTGTGCTGATCATTCCAACCATTCCCTTTCAATTCATATTGAATCGATTGAATTGTATTGGTGGAGAAGTGGGTGGTTTGGGATAATTGAGGATACAACTTATTTGACGCCATTTCCAAATCCACAATAGTATTACCTCACCCGCAGCCCACAATTTTTGGGGCTTTATGCAAATAATGCAGAAATTCTTGAAAGTCGACATCCTAAAATAGAGAAACCTGGAATCGTTTCGACTGGAGAAGTCCTGCACCTCCATCGGACAGACATGTTTGATCACTTGAGGGTTGGGTTTCATGTGGTGCCGCTGTTTTTTCTTCCTTCAACAATCGACCATCTTTGGGTCTGTCCCATCGTTTGTACGAGTCGGTAAACAATGATGACTAGTTTAGAGAAAGGGAATGGAATTGACTCACTATTTTGTCCATATATATGTCATTTTGGATCTTGGCTTTCAACTGAAGAGGAGGTGAACGTAGTCTTTCACACGGTCGAATTGTTTGGTTCCAGACAGAGAAAAGGTCGTTTTCAGGGCCTCGCCGATGTCCTCACTGATCCATACTGATCCCCAACACTTCCTTTGAAGACGCTTTGCTCCATGTGTCCAACGACCTAGAGCCTTGCTCCAGCGCGATTGGGCCAGGCGATCTTGGACTCGGTGGAATCCGAGTATGTTTGGAGCTCGGAAGATGGGAACCTTTGATGTACGGTGTATACACTAGGGATCCAACATTGATGTGGTTGGAACATGTTGGAGCCGTACAGGGATAGGTTATTTATGGGTCCACCATCTACCTATTTTGTGGAGGATGCGTTATGAATGGTTATAAATGGCTGTTGCTTGGAGGGATGCAGAAATGCAGCACTTGGCTCGAGCCTGGCGCTTAACTGATCAGCTGAGACATTGCGCGATTGGAATACGGAACCTACCAAGACTCTTGATGGGAGCACTCCTGCCAAATCCCAATGAACCATGGCTAACAATCCATACAATTCGTTTGAAATGAGCCACGTCTTGCCAGACAAGAACATTTGATCACAGGTTTGTGCATAGAACGCAAATACCTCCACTTCTCCTAATCTTCACGGCATAGAATCACAGGAAATTCCCCCTGTGAGTTTTCCCATCAGCCACAAGGATTCAGCTCGATTGCATTTTTGGGATGACCCTGGCAGATGTGTGAACAACATGCAATCGACAGCCAGTAAGAGTTCTTTTTCGACGAAAAATAGAGACCCCCATGACTTCGGATTACACCCACCTCACCGGAATCCACGCGGAATCGGGAGAGCGAGTCTCCATGGCACGAGGTGAGGAAACAAGCTTGGGAAAGTGCCGGGGGGAAGGGAGGAGTAAGCAAGGATTCGGAGACGGATCTCCCAGTCGCAGAGACAGATCAGCACTTCAAATGTAAAGGCCGATTGTTCAATGCGTATTGATTTGTGCAGCGTTGTACTTCTAAAGCATGACAAGTCTGAAGTTTGACATGGCCAGCTACGGAGAGACACTTGACGTTTTAGCACGTGCAGATGCATTCCTGTATCCACCCCATGTTGGATTTCTGAACCCCAGCCGCCCATCCTCCTTCACTGCAACTTGAGGATTGCAGGTCTTCTCGGACCAGCTACCCGAGGAGGAGGAGTGGCATGCGCAGTCGCCATCCATTTCCAGGCGAGAACACTGTGAACAGAGTGGGAGAGAGGAGTGCTACATGCGCACGAGTTCGGCAGAATATAGGGAGGGCTCCAAAGTGGTGATTGCGGATTCTGGACAAGTGGTGATTGCTCCATCTTCGGCACAATAGGGAGGGCTGCATCCACAATAGGGAGATTCTAGTTCGATCTCCTCAAGTGGTCAGACTTGGTGATTGCGCCTCTTAGAGTTGCAAGGTATGATGCTTTGTGAAAGTAGCTGATTCTCTTACATTTGGTCAGACCCGACCAAATAGCCCAACAGCACGGTTGCGAAAACGGCTCACTGTGGTGGTGCAGGAGGTACATCTCTCACAGAGGACCTACAGTACTTCCAAGCACAGCAACCCATGTACTACTTTACAAGCACGGAGTTTGCATGTGGCCGAGGCCCATCAGCCTTCATGCTGTGCCAACCCATCCAACTGCTGCATGGCTGTTTTATGTTTGACCGTCGGTGTGTTGGAGAGCAAGGCTAAGGAATCACCATCGTCACATCGGGGCTTTCGACTTCGGTCTCATTTGTTGCCGCATCAACATCCGCATGTTGCCATGTGATGCCATTGCCAAGTGGGAGTGTATTTAAAATTGGTGTTTTGGTCTATTTCCTTCTTCCAGGGGTCGAACAGGGGTCGGTCTCCCTTTTCGATACACAGCCCATGTCAAATCCCAGATTCAGTATAGATCCTGTATGATCCGAGATGCTTTTTTCACCCAATGCGGGATCTTTTCCAGATGGGGTCTCCGGTGATCAGCATAGCAGCATAGCAACAAATACCCGGTTCAGAAACCTGTACAACTCTATGAGCAATAAGCTTTCAGTATTATTTACTGGTTTCTCTCTGAAACACTGCCACATGACAGGGGCCCTCTGTGCAATCAATTATCCGCGCAATCCCAAACTGAAACGATCCCTGAGGATCTCAACCTCCTTGGCCAGCCACTGGCACTGCCCTCAGCCGCTGCGAAGTGGTGCGAAGCGGTTCATGTGAAGAAACGATCAGAAAGTGGCCTACTCATTGAAAGTGGGATGGCCAAATTAAAAGAGCCGATGCGTCCAATGGCATCCGTGGATGCAGCTTCTTGGATTCTCCCACCTCGTGGTGCGACGACCGATGCGGTGCTCAGGGGATGTGCAGAAGCTTCTTGGATTGGATGGGGCAGCGCCACCGGGTATGGCAATGACCTGCAGGAGCTTAGATCGGACGCACGGATAGACTGTACTAGTACTGATTGTTATTTCATAAACCACTCCAATGTGGGATATGTAATGGATATGTGGGTAAATGCCACTCCTCAGTGACAGTCCGGAGTGTTGAGAGATAGTATGACCTCTGGTGATGCACCGGTATCGGGATGAAACACACGGCGATTGACTCAAGCAGAAGGGACCAGAAAGTTTCTTCGAGTTGTGTGCCTCTTTCAGTGACCAAATGTTACCTGGAAGTTCTACAAGTGACCTGATGAGCTGTGAGCTGGCCAATGTCTCTTGACTGAACACTGTTGACACGAGGTATGCCGAGGCGAGCCTCAGTGTTGTTACGAACTCCGAAGCGTTTCGACCAAAAAGACCAGCTTCACCACTTTCACAAAGTGCTGAGCAGTGCTGTCGACCTGTCAGTGCTGTCGTCAGTGCTGTCCGTGTTCCTGCTGTTGTCGACCCTAAACGAAGGTCCACGCGATCTTCGTTTGGGTCCACAAATGGGGATGGTTCAAAACCTGGAGCCTGGAGCCCCCAAAAGCATGTAAGTCGCCCTTCCGGGACGCGGTCTCCTGGTGACCCACAGCGAGGTCAGCTGGACAGTCCCATGGGCTGGGATGGCAGTGGATTCTGCAGCTACAGCATGAGAGATGTGCATCAACAGGACGGGACCCGGCTGGGAGACCTCTTGACCCCGGGAAATGACGGGGAAATGACCGAGACATTTTGGAAGCCAAAGGGTTTGGTGGGTGGCGGTTGACGTGATGCTTGTGGAAAAAACAGATCCTGCAGGGCTCCAAGTATCTAGTGTCTACCATGGCGTACATACTGAGAAAATCTGAGAAGTTACTTGGGTCGTTCGCTACCTTTGGACAATGAGCCGCTACTAGTAGCTTCTTGCTACTACTAGCGTCCTTGTTACTAGTAAGGCACTTGTTACTAGAAGCGATGCACTTGTTCCTAGTGCAGTTCGAAGAACACACCTTTCCACCTGGCCATTCGCAGCGCTGGCAGGGCGTTTGTGTGATGCTCAGCGCCTTGACTCCGGCGATCCGCGCGCCATTTCCGCCGCGTGAACGGTGATCCTCATCCTACACTGTTGGCTACTATTTGAAATAGGTTTCTGAACAGTTGATCCAGTATGATTATACAATTCTGGACCTGGTCCACCAACAACATGAGACATGATGTGGCTTGAGACATATGACATTGAATTTTGGAGGCTTCTTTTTGGGTGTAGAGTGAACATAGATGAATGCAAGACTTCACCCCATGGGTGTTTGACTGATCTCTTCACTCTCAAGCTTTGGCTCTCAGCTGGTCACAGATTCCTTTTGGAAACATGGCTTCTCAATATGGTATGTAGAAAGTAACTATAGATCCAACGGCTAACCACCTAGAAATCATCAGACGTGCGCAAGACGACATGGACTTCCAGTGGCAGTGGTTTCTCGAAGAACATGCTGTCCTAAGAAATCCTTTCTGGATCTTTTTGGTTTAGTCCCATTTGGGGCCGGGATTGGGAGGGTTTGTCCAAGCCTTTTGAGCCTTGTTGATACCAAGTGTTTGCCGCTTTGGCCACTCCATTCGCTGCTTTTCGTTTTTTTCTACAGATCAAGAGGTCCGAGGTGTGAGGTTCCATCAGTGGCTTCGTCATCGGCTTCGCTGGAACCGAAACACTCGGAGGTTCAAATGAGGATCACTTCGATCTGATAAAAGCCAACCAGTTTTTGCCACCCAGAAGCTCCAAGACGGGTTCAATTACATGTACCTGGACCCTCAAAGTACCATCGAAAATGGAACATTGTCGGACATGACATGAATGACCCCATAAAAAATAACAACTACTTGATGGTACTTGTACTCATCTTCCCAGATACCAACTGAGACTCCAGGTAAATAGGGATCGAATCAGTGTGTCGATGTTGGCCACCTCAGGCCCAACCTTTCGGGAAATGGCCAAATTCGAGGATGGCCTCGACATCGTGTGACCCTCAAGCTGCGGTGTCCGAAGGGGAATGAGCGGGAATGAGCGAAACCTCGAGTCCCAAGTTGAAGCTTTTTTTCGGGATCACCAAGCGTGTCAAAGAGTATTAATCAGGTGTTTTAGAATATCAGCCTGATAGTTGAACCGAATCGCGCAGAACACTGTGGTGGTTCAAGGAACCTCGGCTTCTCAGCTTGTGCATCTTTCATGAAAAAAGCATGTTCCTCCTCTTTTCGAAGTCGTGCTTTCTTTGTCCCTACAAAGATCACGGTCGGGACTCCTGGGCCGAGGCCGGTGTGTCCGGCTACACCGAAGGACGAGCAGCGCGGCACTGGTGCTTGCCCGTGGGGAGCCTTGGGAAGGATCCACGGTTCTACTTCTGGATTTGGGGGGCCCGAACCTTTGTGCACGTCACTTCAAGTGCTTGAACCCAGTCGGTCACTTTTTGGCTTCCAAGCCTTGGTTGATGTGTGCAAGGTCAAGCATTTTAGTTCACCACTCAGTTCGGTTGGGCCGCGAACGTTCAATGCCTTTAGAGACAGAAACACGACCAGGTCGAGGAAACGCATCGTTCTTCGTGCAGAAAATTGCGCCTTATGGCGGCCAGGCAAGGTGTGGCAGGAAGATGTACCCAGCGGGTTGGTTGATTTCAGGGGTCAATGTAGGCAGGAATTATTTGATAGCTGATAGCTGGAGTAGGTTTCGTTTTCAGGGAATGGTTCTCCTGCACCAAGTGCAATACACAGAGAGGAGGGCAATAGGGGCAATGTGCATGTGGACAGTTTGCCGTTGGCAAGTTTATATTGGAAGATATTAGAAGCTCCTGCAGTCTGCTGGGTTCCCTGTCAGAACTCCTAGCAGATAGCCCGCAATCCTCCAGATCTGATACACTTCTAGTGGTGATTCTGTTTCTTCACTTCTGAGTTCCCCCCTCATGCTGGTTCGCCTGAAGTCCTTAGTCAGTCCTTCCCAGGTTTGGGCCTTTGCGGCAGCCGTGGAACGAGATCCCAAAGGCATGGAGGACTTGGGCTTGGACTGCCTCAATACCAACAGCTCCTCGGCCAGCCGGACGGGGCTGGATGTGGCTGGTTTCATTTGCAAAGACACGAAGCTCGGGATGAAAGAGGGGTGGACATGTCCAGACCACGATTCCACAACAAAGAGATCATGATGGGGGGGGATATGGGCCATATGAGATATAAACGGATATGGGCCATATGAGATCTAAACATGTTAGTATCATGTTGTTCAGAACAACTAGCTGGCAAGCGCCTCCAACATCTCTAATGCTTTACCAATGCCTCGCGGTGTTCGTCACTCAGCGATGACGTGAAGAGGAAAAATTACCAGACGTGAAGAAAGTCATGACACATATCAAGGATATGTGGAATGAGGGGAATAAGGGGGAGATGATTTTTAAACATGGGTGTGTGGTTTAGATCCGGGAACCCCCTGGCCCAATGGGTTTGGGTCTATTTTCCCTCGTCCAGGGGGTCAAACTGGGAGGTCTCCCAATTTCAATACCAACTAGTACTGATATCACTCATCACTGTGGGTCAAACTGTCTAAGGTCTCTTTTCTTTTGCCATCAGGTCAAGTCACCCCCTTTCAGTAGGCGAAAATGTTGTCTTGGTAGACTAGCAGCTGATTTCATTGCCACTGAGCCGATAAATAAAGCCCTTCAAGAATTTCACTCTATCCATTTCTAGGCCGTGCAAGGCAAGCAAAACACACTGAACATCCTTGCTAAGGCAAGGTGAGAGATATCCTCAGGCCAGGTCGGTTTCGGGCGAAACCAGCGATTTCACCAAAGAGAGTGGGATCAACTGATGATCTCAGGGTCCAAACATGTGATGATTCAACTGGTGTCGTGTTGTTTATGTGTTTCTATGTTGGTGCACCCCAGAGCCTTTTTCTTATCCAAGCGTCCACTTTTGTTTGATCACCGCTTACCCAGCAAATAGTCCAAAGCACAAAACACACATCCAGGAGTCACCTTGAAAGTTAGCGAAAACTGATCCCATTGGTTGGGGGTCATACTGAAAGGTCCGGACATCCTTCGTTTGTGTGGCTCTTGCCAGGTGGAACTCCTAAGATTGTCAGGAGTACTATGGTGGTTTACCCTAGATTTATCCCAGCATGATGGGATATGAGGATTGGGCACACTATGCGTCAGATATATCCTAGATGCTCCACACATGGGGGTGCGTTTGGTAGTAAAGAGAACGTATATGTTTACCTACGTGGAACATTTGGGTGTATGGTGTATGTATGTCCAAGTCCAATCGATTTGCAGACACTTTGCGGCTTGTCCACTTTCTTGTTGCCGCAGAAGTTTCGTCCGATCTGCTGGAATGAAGCTTTTTCATCGAACAGCCCTGGACTTTGCCTCAACATGAGGGAACCCCAAAGGTGCTCGGGTGTTTCCTCACCCGTCACCTGCCACTGCACAATTGATTCCTTTTCTTCCTGGATCTTCCAAACGACCAAACAAATCTGGTAGTTTTGGTCATTGACCCAGTATGACGCAGTTAATTAGTGCAAAATGCATCAAAATGCATGCAAAAAGCCCTCAAAAAAAAAACAAACATCCGCAAAACAAACCAAACGACACAACTAACCATAAAACGCAGTCGATTGTTCTCCCAGTTCGGAAAGTCTAGGTTGTCGATCAAACTCTCTGAGAGGACCCGAAGAACGAGTTCTGGGGAGTTGTTCTTTGCTGGAAACTGGTGCCTGCAGATCTGGAGGTCCCCACCACATGGAGCCATCGATGGTGGTCAGCCGCCATTGCCAGGCAAAACGTCATCCTGCAGGGCCCCAGCAAGAGTTACTTCACGAAGCCCGCCGCAGAGATCTTGGAAGTCACTTGGCGCTCTGAGTGAGTTTTGTTGCATCCACGAAGGAAAAGCGTGACCTGCTTCGGACCCGTTCATTGTTCCATGTTTTTTGAGGGCGCCAGGCGAACACCACTTGCTATACCTTGCAAGGGGGTCTTCACGTCCACAACCATGACAAGTGACGTGATGCATCACAAGTGTGTGTGTGTGTGTGTCATACGTTCGACAATGAGCAAGTGTGTGTTGTGTTCATTTGAACCAGATGTTTTGCGTGTGAAGCCCCCCCGGTGCTTCTGTCGTTTTGAGGACCGATGCACGCCTGCCTGGAGCCTCAGTGATTCCCAGGAAGGGGCAAACATGGAGGTTCATGGTTCATGGAGTGCGGCACCTCTTAGAGTCTTAGATTGTGACTTGACCCCCCCAAAAAACAAAGTACTTCACTTCGAGTGATTCCCACCATGACATTTCAATCAAACATTTTTGTTCGGCATGTATTGACATTCTATCTGGCATTCTTTCTGGCATATCTTCTGACATTGTTCTGACGGTCTTTCTGGCATATCTTCTGACATTCTATCTGGCATATCTTCTGTCATTCTTCGTGGCGTTCTATCTGGAATATCTTCCAACTGGCGGTTGAGGTCCAGCGGGGAACACTGCCGTCCGGAACTGGCGGTTGAGGTCCGGCGGGAAACACTGCCGTCCGGAGCTGGTGGTTGAGGCTTTTGTGGCATTCGCTCTGGCATATCTTCTGACATTCTTTGTGACTCACATTGTTTCTGACATTCTGTCTGGCATATCTTCTGACACTTTGTCTCACATTTGTACTGGCATATCTTTTGACAGTCTTTCTGACATTCTTGCTGCGCTTGCTTTGCAGCAACCCACCCATCCATCTGACTTCAAGGTGTCTCGCTGCGGGTGTGCCCCACAAGTCTGGCACAAAGGGCTTGTGCCTTTTGGAGCCTAAGTGGCCTAAGTGACTCTAGAATGTGTTGTACCCTGAACCCTTCACAGACCATCTTTTAGTAACGTAGCTTGGGCTTCATCCCTTCACATCCGATCTCTAAGTCCTTCAGGAGGGCATTCGATTGCATGCACAGCGGAAGCGCGAGCGGGAGAAGTGGCGACTCGGTCGAAACAGTGGATAAAACATGCGTCAGACGGGTGTGCGTGCTTTAGCTACTATTCCGAAGGAAGAAGTGCAGAAAACTATCCAAGAATGGGGATTGTCACTGATCCCACTATTTAGAGCGTGTTGGGTATTCCAGGTGCAGGATGATTTCCTTCAACTGAGAAGCATTCATTGAAGTAGTGAAATTTTTGGGATTCAACTGCCTCCAAAAGTTTGGTTTTGGACAAGAAGCCGTCCGAAGACCAGCGCGGTGCTTTTTTGGGCCCCGCCCCTGCCACTGGCCAGGGATTTGCATACCCAAAGGCAGTCAGCTGTTGACGCCTCATTGCAAGTGGGTCAAAGTTTGTGCAACTCTTTGGCACAGGAAGGACCGTCACTCGCCTTATGGACATTTATGTATTGTGAAGGTGGAAACCCTGGTGAACCGCCAATCTTTATAGAAGACTCTCCACATGAACCATTGAGACCATGTTTTTTTTTTTTTTTCGCAGTTCTTCCTTCGTTCAATCGATTTACAAAACCCGCCCGTTCATCGAACAATCGGCTAGGCCTGGCCGTGGATGGGATGGGAAAATGGCCCCCGAAAAATCGGATCGACCCTGAAGTCCTTCCTGCGAGACCAAAACAGCTGGTGAACTCCACGAACCGGTGTCCGTGTTCCAACCAATGGCCTTTCAACATTGGTTGGTTGGTAAATAGAAGGGATACCCCCAAGCGTACAACCAATGGGTATATGGTACCAAACCGATCCCTCTATTATTCCCAAAAGGACATCATTGGTCCGTGCTCCCAAGAGTGTATACCTCAACAAACCCCACTGACCTGTGTTTCCCAACCGTTCGCAAGCCGTTGCGCGGGGCCCGGCTGGGTGAACATCCGTCGAACCGGGGGGGGCGTTCAGGCTTCCGCAAGAGCAAGCTTGTGGCTCGGCCGCGAGGGGTGGATGGGACCCAGACACACTCCATCCGTTTTTGGCTGGAAGAACCAATGCCACCCCAAACTGGTCACCTGAAATCAACCACCCCAACTGATCGGCAACGATGGCAGTCCCAGGCAGGTCGTGTTTGGGGGATGACATCATTGAATGAGTCGAGTTGCTGTTGCTGGTTCATTTTTGACCCAAGCTAGTGGTGTCCCGACGGTGGGACTTGACGGTTTGTTGGAAGGTGATGGAGGACCATTTCTCTCTCTATATATATATATAATTGAAGTGTTTCACAATGTTCTATACCAGCACCTTCAAGGGCTGTCACCTGGCTGGAAGCCCCAGCCCACTACCTAGGGACCCTCCATTGGACACCTGTTTGAAGGTCCAGGTATGTGGAAGTGGATCAAACTGGCCATGCATAGTGCTCCCTCTGCTGAGGTGTCAACAAGAAGTACAAGATCTCGCAGCAGGACATCGTTGGCTGGTGGGATGAGAACGAGCACAAGTGCTACGATGCTCAGCTGTGATCGTGTCAAGAGGTCCAAATACACCAGGTTAGAATCAACTGGAATCGCTTGAACGATGTGTGTTTCCTCATAACTTGTGTTCAAAAGCCCAACAGCCTTGGCAAGTTGAGCTGGACAACTCAAGCACAGTGATGTCTGCCCTTCCCAAAATGAACACCTTTTCAAGGTACTGTATGTCTTCCCGCACAAGGCCGGGGTATACGATCTTCATGGGCGCAAAGTTGTGTCTCTTCTAGACCTTGATGACCATCCATTTCCTGGTGTTTCTAAGCAAGGTTTAGCAACGTGATGAACAGCTGCAACGTCCAACTGGGCAGAAACTGAAGGCCCGGGACTGCTGGCCATGCCGAAAAAGGACCCAGAAGGCAGAAGGCCATAGAAATCCAGCATGGCCATAGACTAATTAGAGGTCTTCAGGACTGCTGGCCACGGTGACAAACGATCTCTATAGCATGGCATTCCTATGAGGTCAGGAAACCCAAGCCACCCGACTGTCGTGACCGTCCCGCGCTCGGCGGCCAACATCGCCGCGGAAATTTCCTCGCCACTGAGGAAGGCTTCTACGACCAGAATGGCATTTGGGTGTGGCTCTTGGAGAGGGGATGTGGAGGTGTGCCACAATGTGCCACATCCTAGTTGTTTAAAGTTTTGTTGGTATCGCTGGTTCAGCTTACAGCTTTTTGGGACTTTTTTTTCTCACGGAGCATGAACAGTTGCAATGGAGGTTGTTACCTTTGTTCCAGGGGATGGAGGAAGTCAGGTATGGCCTCACGAGAGCTCAAAACACAAGCTCTAGATGGGCGTTTCCACAATGTGGGCGTTTCCACAATTGTGTTTGGCTGAGTCGCAACCCTCTTATACCCTCCAGATACTGGTGGTTCTTTAAAACATGTTGTGTTTGTCCCCTGACTTGCAGTGGTGGCATCACGAGAAGAGCTGTGTCATGCGTTCGAAGGGCGCGGGCAGAATCCATTCTGCCTCACAAGTTCTTGACAGGGGACATGATGAGGTTGGCCACTTGGCCTTCCAGTGATCCTGGTTGAAGATGGTTGAAGAACCAATCTGGTTCCTGTGCATTGGGGAAGTGGAAGAAAATAAAGGTGTCTTCGGATTTCATGCAAACCTTCCTAGAGAGACACACGAGGTTAGAGTTGCCGTATATAATTACCGAAGAAGCATAGGTTGTTACACTTTTAATGATTTAGTTTTACAACTTTGATAGTTCATCAACTCGTCAGCAGAACTGTCTCACGTGCGGATGTGTTACCATCCAGATAGCTTTGAGTTTCCACAGTTCAACACAGCGGCTGATTCGCAGTCGTCGCCGATGCAACCCGACCCAAACGACCCCACTGTCGGCTTGGCCGCGGGTTTTGCTGCCAGAATCCCTACTACACAGCGGGAGGCCTGGATCATTGGAGGAGGAACCGGCGGGGTGAGAGACCAGATGCTGAGAGAAAGCCATGGATGGCTGGTGTCCCACAGTGGAGGAACAGGATCCATGTCAATACTTCAGGCTCCAGCTATAGCGCTGCCTTGTGTTTGTGTTCAGATCTTCATCGATTGGTGAGTGATCGTTCAGCTGAACTTAGAGTGCACTAGTGGCTCTCTCAAGAGATGGAATCGTGGGATACCGTGCCTCAGAAAAGGTAGCAGCAGGTATTTCTTCCAGCTAGCATATTGGATTATATATGATTCTATTCAATCTTGCTTTCCAGGCTTTGCAGTTTCCTTCTACCTGGGGATCACACTGATGTTCCGTGCCGGAAGCAGAAAGGGAACATCCCCACTCCGCCAGGCTACGGGAAGTACTGTGCTGTGATGTAGTGACACTCGCAGTGCGGCGGCCTCGCGGTTCGAGGGTTGCCACAAGATGTGCGGCGATCGTCCTTCAGCTGAAAAAGAAGCAATCGACATAGACTCACTCTATAGCATGGGACAACAAAAAAAATAACATTCAAAAAAAGCCGGACCCGAAAGGAAGACGACTGTCCTTGACCAAAACACGGGGGGGGGTTCATGTTTTTTTCCCTCCATGTCCAGGGTTCAGTCGGAGAGGCTCCATGAACACCTCGGACTCCCGCGTGGCTCTTCACGGGTGACCGAAGAACGGCCCTGCCGACCCTTCTCCGCTCCAAAGATCGAGTGGAGCGTTGAGCCGTCTGAGCAAAGAGCGGGTGGAGCAGGTGCTGGAGCAGGTGGAGTTGGAACCGTGGGTGATGCATGATGGGTGGAACATGGGAGTGGGAACAAGAACACCTGCAATGTTCCAAAGAAGCGTGATGCACCCAGTGTGTCCAGGTAAGCCTTTCCACAAGCTATATTCATCTACATCAAGGGGGTTTGCAAGTGCAGGAGTTGAAGTTTATCCTGATGGAGGGTAACTGACTGCTTCATGCTGGGCCTGGCGAGCGACCAGTTTACGCGCCAAGACTGCGTAAACGAACAGCAGGCAGAAGAAATCATGTCAATGAACTTCCAGGTTGAACATACCATTGATGTCCTCTCGAGAAACAACCAGATGGCACAGGTGCTGATAGCACGGCCGGATGCCTCGCCGTTCCGCACGCAGCTATCGCGACTCCGCCAGCGCCGCGGGGTGTTTCACCCCTGCACCGAACGCCTGAGGATGAGAGCATCGCCAGCAAACTCGTCTCCGAGCCGCTCGGACGTGGATAGTCATGCGAGGTCTAGAAGATGTGCTCATCCAAGGGTTTGACCTCCATGGGGTTTTCACCTCCAAAGGGCCTTTTCTGTGAGAATCCATGACAGGTGTAGTGCTCATCCGAAGAGGGCCATGAAATCTGACATCCCGTGACCAATTACCGCCGTAGGTGAGGAAACCGTTCGACGTCCATATTTGTTGCAGGTTGCTAGCTGGCCAGAATGTAAAGCAATTTCTTTGCCGGGCCTTAAGCTTGTATGGGGTGTGCTGTTTGTTCTGGTCTAAAGCAAGTCTTTGGCTTCTGCAGGGCGCAGGGCCACGTTGGGCCATCTCTTCCAGGTCCCATCTTCCGATTCTACTCCATGCATAAGCAAAATATCTCACAAAGATTATCTACATTGGCCACCGACACTTCCCACCCAGCAAGCCGAAGTTTGGGACCTTTTTTTTTTGACATGCAAGATCACAAGACCGTGGCGGCCTTCGACCTGTGTTCATTGCAGCGAAACCAAATGCAAGAATCCATGGCCACTCAGTGTTGGATCTGTGTTCTGTCGTCACGATGTTTGTTTTTAATCTCTTTGCCACCCATAGTTCTGGAGATATACAATGACCAACTGATTGCAGTTTCTTTCCAAACTTAAACAATCTTAAACATATGCTGATTCATTCTGTTTGCAACGGGAAGCTCCATCCAAGCATATCCAAGCCACACAGGTGTGAAGACCTTTGCTATATGCTTTGCTGATCTATGAGCAGGGAAGAAATCCTGTATTAGTTGAGAATCAAGAACTGGAACATGCTATCTAGCATTTAGGAGTATCCAAATTCTATACTTAGACCAAGACCACCCAACAGTGTAGGCCATAGTTGTTTACCTGTTACATGTTGGGTTGGAGTTTGGTGACAATAAAGAAGAGTGGATGGAGTTTCCAGATGTCAATCAACACTGTGGTCTGAGGCTGGAAGGCAAGGTGGTACATGAGGCGTGTTTTTGCCAGTCGCTTCAGGTCACCATCCAGTGATTTTTGGCTTCGTAACCAACTCGTCGATCTCGGGTAGGCAAGACTTTGTCTTGCATATGATAGTGGTTTGGCCGCCACTCTTTGGTTGCGACACAGCCCTTGTTTGGCCGCGCAAGAAATTTGGTTGGTGTCTCCTTCGACATTGTTTTTTGCTTGGAACTATGATGGGCATATCATGGCTATCTTTTGGGCAGGTGGTTGCCGCTGGCAAGGAGAAGCTCAAGGCAGTGCAGCTGAAGGATGTTGAAATGAAGGGAGGAAAAAGGGTCTATATATATATAAGATTATACAATATATTATGTTATATATATAGGCTTAGAATATAAAGTAATTCAGATTTATTGAATTTGTCATATTCTAAGTGCATCCTGAAAAAAGTCATTGCTACATGCAACGAACCCACATAGAATACACACGATACCTGCCATACCTGCAGTTAGAATGTAAACTTGTTTTCTTGCTTGCTTGCTTGCTGCATTGTTTGCAACAAATAGCTGAACAAATGGCTAGTTTGGTATGCCAGCACAGTTGGCTGCCAGAGTTTGCTTATGTTCCTTGATGCATACACACATGCATATATGTATATAGAGAGATTATGTTTGTTAGTTCTTTATTATGTGCAGTGTATGTTCCAAGATTCTCTTTGCATATCCTCGTATTCTAACTGCATGCCCATATTCTAACTGCATGCGGCCAAAAAAAATACTTTTTGATGTGGTTTGCGTATTCTATCTGCAAGTAAATGTTCTGAGCAGATTCTAAGTGCTAACCACTTACTATAAATATATATATATAAGTGTATATATATATGCAAGTAGGGAAAACAACTACCTATTTTGTAGAAGAAACTGGTCATCCTTTTCGGGCCTATGCCATGCGCTTCCATGATGCCAGGGAGTGTAGGAGGGTGGAACTGATTGATGTCATCTCATTTCGCACTAGCACCATCCTGTTTGGGTGGTGTCCTGGGACTCCCAGCCACTATTTGAGATGTCGGCTCCGATTCCTTCATTCACTTCAATCACTGCGAAAATGGTGCTGGCCTGGTTCTTCAAAGTGACCCAGACTGAGCTCCCAGTTCAAGACCTCATTGAGCCTGGAAATAAGGGTCACTTAGGAAGTCTTAGGAACCCTCAAAAGGTCACTTTGATGTTTGTTCTTTCGGTGGTTTGGATTGTTTTGCGGCCAAGCTGCCACGTGAACCGTGCACCGAACTCGTGATGCAAAGCCTCGCAGGGCTTCGGCGGCGGTGGCGGTGGCGGTGCTGCCGTGGCTGTGGGCGGTGGTGGTGGCGGCGGCGGCGGTGGAGAAGCCGCTGCGAAGAAGGCGAAGATGGGCAAAGTGACGATGGTTTTTGTGTGGGATTTCATGTCAATGCGGATTTGCTGGCCATGAATCACTGAATCACTTCCCCCTCAGACACGGATCGACAAACCTCTTCAGGGCTCAGAAGCTTGAACTCTCATCAACCGTCCCATGGTCGATCCTAGTTATAGTGTTATCTTTTTTAAGGGCGTGACTCTCCAATTTTCCAAATTCTCCTCCTCTCGGGGACCGATCCTTGAAACGTCCGAAAGGGGTCGCGAAAATCTTGCGGTGCCAGGAAGAGAAGAAGGCTTGGTGGATGGCCATAGATGGGAACACATGCGAAGAAGAGAGACGACTTGCGACTGACGTGCTTCGTGGCTACTCAGTGGGAGGGAACAAATGGAGTCACATCAGTGCTTCGCTGGATCCCAGGCCGTGGGAAAGTATGTGACACGTCAGACCAAGCCGTTAGGCAATAAGTCAAGGATTCTCAGGGTCCCAAGAGGTCCTAAGATCCTCATAGCTCAGGTCCCAATGCCAAAGTTTTCTCCTTTTGTTAGGTCTGACAGCGGATGTGAAGAGACGGTGAGTTGGTACGGAGGAGGGGTTCGGGGTTGAAGTCTTTTCAAGACGGATGTCTCGAACCTGAGGCCTGTCATGGTCAAAACCACCACGAGCGGTTGGGGTAACATGTTCTTTCCCCTAAACATGGTCGTTCTGAACGCCACCTGGAAACCCAGTCCCAACCAGAAACAAAGGGATGTTCGAACGTAGCAATGGATTGATCCGTAGGAAGGAAGTGGCTGGGACTGGGGAAACACCCACACCGCATTTGATGGAGTTTCCAAGTTTGATCTTTGCCCCGAACTAGTAACAGTCATCTTATGGTCCGTATACTGTATGTGCGTATACAAATTGGCATTTTTTGTGAAGAGAGAGTTAATCAAGATTGATAAACCAGGATAAATGCAAACTATCGCACACTTATATATAAGGGTATATGGTATATGGCTTAGTCTTGTATAGTACTAGACTCTTTGCGATGATGACATGTCTGAAGCCACGCAAAGGACGCGGGTTGGTGCACCCCACCGTGTCTCGGCGTGGAGACACCGTGTCTCGGTCGTTGAACGGGCAGGTCGTGGAGGAAGAAGAGGAGGAGGAGATGGAATTCGACCTTTTTGGCTGAGCAAAACGAGCAACGACCGATCGTTCACCACCGAACAGAGACCGCTCGTTCACGTCCTTTGGACCAGTGCGGACGATGCCGGACGATGCCAAGATGGTGTCCTCCTCGGGGAGTCGATGCAGCGAAAAGAGCGGGGTGTTCGGAGTGCGCCAGGATGTTCATCCAATCTTTGGCTCCAGCTCCTGCAGCTAGAGAACCACAGAACCTCTTTTTGGAAGATAGGCCATATTGCACCTATTGGGGAAGAATTTGTTCAAAGAGAGTCCGTTTGGGATCCTCTTGTACCTGGATCCCTCACAGCCGCTCAGCCTGACGAGTCGCCGATGCTCAGCCAGACTAACCAGAATGAGGCATGAGGCATCATGAGGCTTTGATCCAAAACAATGAGACATGGTAGGGACATGTAGGGACACCACAATCGGTTTTTGATGTTGCCCTTTACTAGTAGTACTACATCCTGGCAGTGCAGGTCCGAAGGAAAAATGACGCGCATAGCATAGATGACTCCACGATGGAATTTGAGGGTGTAAAGCGTGACATTTGCCTTTTTGGTCTCGCAGTTCCACTTGTCAAATTTAGTTGATTTTTTGGGGAGGGGTCACCTTTTGGTTTTCAATTTGGACAAGTCATCTACCCTTTGGTTTCCTTTGTTTTGACTTGGCCAGAACCTAAGCTGTGAGTCACATACTTATTTAGATTTGGGTGCCACTGTGTGCAAAAAGAAAGGTGCGGAAAAGGCGGGTCAAGGATGGTCAAGGCGTTTTCATGCGCCGACACATGCAAAACCTGTGAACATTGACAATGATAGTGCGTAGCCCATCGCACTGCCGCCAGGTGAACCCGTCTCAACGGGCGGCGATTGATGGTCTGAAGTTTGCACTGGAGAAAATCCAGGCCGACGCTTCCATGACTCTGAGCGAAGCAGCATGTATTCGACGAGGAACTCTGAGCAAAACCCCGCCGGTTCACCTGTCGGTCCGTCCCCGGCGTTTCATGAAAGAGGTCCGTTTGGGTGCCGTGACCCAGAGCCAACAGGTTAGGGTGGGACGTGCTGGGATGTGCTGGGCGACAAAGGAACCAGTCTTCGCACTTTGAAAGAAAGGACTGGACGTTGACCCAGGGAGATTGGCGGGAATTGAAAAAGGAAGATTGGCGGCTTGAATGGCAGCATGGGTACAACCGTAGTAAAATTAGATTTGACAAGATCTTGAATGGATGTTGATGGGTGAGTGGGTTCTGTTTTGTGCACTTGTATGGCACGGCTTGACGGTTTCCACAGTGTGAAGTGTTGATTCACTGAAAGCCACCCGAGAGGCACCTGTTGCACTGGCAGACATGCTATTGTTGACCAGTTGTAAGTTGTGAGCATCCCCCACATGAGAAATCTTTACAGGAAACATCAACTCGAGTAAACCCTTTGTAGCATCAGTAGGGGTTGGTTTATCATGGTTTATCCACAAACTGTTGTGCCAGGGTCCAACCAGAAGTGATGCAGTGTTGAAGTTCAGAGAAATTCTATGCAGTCTGTAAATCTGCAACTGTATCCTTTTGGGGATTAGCTGCATTGCTTTGCATGAAGATGCATGACGTTCGGTTTATCAAACATTTTTTAACTGAGAGTGGCTCATAACACCAGGTAGCAATCGTAATCCCCAGAAGGATCATCAACAAAAAGGATCGGGGACCCACAGTGAGCTACAGGAGCTTCTGGCACTACAGCACTCACCGAGCTTTTGTGGGATCCCCCCCATGTGGGATCCCCCCACCGCTGCACCGCTCCGCTGTGCCCCAGGGGCCTCCGGGCACGGGGAAGTCCACGACGATCTTCCACATCTTGGAGCGGGTCTCCGGTCGAGTCGGTCGACCGGGCAGAGACCGGCATTTGGTTCAAGACGCCCTGGTCGGTGGGTGCAGACTCTGGATGAAGAAAAGCCTCCTGGGATTGACCAAACCTCTTCGTACGGGGGGTCGATATATATATATATAGATAGATAGATAGTCAACCATCTCCATGTGGTGGAAGACTCCATCTAGAGGCTGGAGGTGAGAATGCCAGAAAATGGTTGGGCCGGCGGGTGTGTTTTTGCTGCATGTGTGAAGGATGGTCCAAACTTGGGTGAGATGTTCAATTGATTAGTTATGATGATTCATAACTGTTGATGGAGCTTTATGCAGTTTAAGCTGTATCTCAAGTCTCCAGTGTCATATGTGGTACGTAGGGATTTGCAGAGCCAACACGCTTGATCTTCTAAGACTTTGGGCTAATGGTGTGGGCACTGAGTCTAGCGTTGTCAAGAGGTGCGCGAGGTTGAGCCTATGTTGAGAGGCTTGCAGAAGATTCGGAGGGCTCCCATGCTTTGTGGCCCTGTAGCACTTGCAGATCCTGGTGATTGTGTAAATTTGGTCATCATGATTACTGATTGCTTCTTCCCTAAGAATCCTTGGACTGTCCATCCTCAAAAACCCTTTCCATTTGATGGCCCGCATTCTCGGGCAGGTTGAGATTATGCCATTGACCTTTTGAACAAACAAGAGACCGGAACAGGTCTTCTGGCACTTGATGTTTGAATGTATAAATATGACCCATGCGCTCTAGAGTTCAAGCCACAGTCCTAAGTCCACAGTAAGGCAGTAAGGGCTGTGAGTTCTTTGGAGGCTACCTCGAAATGTTGTGCTCACTCACTTGCTTCTATACAAATCTGTGCCCTTGCACTGCCAGTGAGAATAACTCACGTGATCTTGGTCGCAAGTGCTGATCAACTGCTACAATTACAACCTCCATCCTATTATCTCTCAACGAGATCTCCATTCTCAGAATCTGCCGTACCATGAACCCCTTGACCCCCGGAGAGATCCCGATCGGGTCGGACCGCGGGTCCACGCACCGTTGGACCGTGGGTCCACGCCGCTCGGTGGGACCGCGGAGTTCGCCAGGACGCACGGGTGCCACGAGGCCACTGGGAAGCCGTCTCGACCAAGGACGAGAAGTTCATGTTCGAACCACCCACCACTACCACCCAGTTTGGGTGAGTTATTAGATGGAGAATAGATCGTCAGGAGTCGGGGGGGATGGACAAAACACACCATGCTGGACCATGGCATGTTTAGGGTTATAGGTTGATCTTATCATTTGATGCAAGCCAGTACCCTACAATGTCCAGTCTCACTCAGTAATACCTGCCTTGAGGCCTTGAGTAGTGTGAACTTGTATGACCAACTCCAGTGAGGTCATTGACCTGTAGGGGTAGAATAGTTCTTGATCAGTACAGTGGTGAACGAGTCCGGTTTCCCTGTCGCGACGGTTTGCCTGTCCTACGTACGGTTCGCGAACCAAAACGTTCCGCCGTCCTTGGACCTCAGGTGCTTGCCACCCCTTGACTGCCACCCTTGGGGTTCTGGGTCCCTCGAAGCATGTCCACCTCGTTTGTCCACGTGAACGTCCACCGATCCGTCCACCCGGTCCTCACCGGAGGGATCGGCTGGGACGACTCACCGCATCGGCAGGTTCCAGAGTCTTGGTGTGGCGCTCGGCCGGTCGGTCGACCTTCGGTGAAGACCTACAAGTAGGAACAAGAAGCTACGTTCGGGGCTCCTGGCATCGCTACTAGGAGCAAGGACGCTACTATGGGCTCCTGGCCTTACTACTAGGAACAAGAAGCTACATATGAAGCTACTAGTTAAGCTCCTGGCAATCTATAGGAGAGATACACTCAATATTGGAATAGTCATGATACTGGAGTTCACCACCTGTTTGGTATTCAGAAAAGGGTCATCCAGGGGGCCGTGGCTATCCACGCAACCATGAGTAGTCCAGGATGTGTATACACATGTATACACCACACATTCAGCTTCAAGGAGTGACCTTAGATACCTTAGCCACACAAGATCTGCCGCGACCGTCCCAGGTCACCTGCTCCCGGAATGTGGCGGTGGAATCGATCGCCCAGAAGCTCTCGGGTTTGGAGGAACGAAAGCAACGAACGTCGAGAGAAGCTCTCGATTTGTGGTTGGTTCTTGTTGGACGGTGGATTCAGGAGCATGTCTATACTGCTGGTGGTGAGGCACTGTTATTCACATGTTACAACGTATTAGTAGATAGAGCGACAACCAAGACAGAACGACATCAGGGGCAGGCATTTACCACCAAGACACTATCACAAAAAAACATGTTTCACCATATTTCACCAAATATCACCCAACAAGTTGCCATTTTGTCGAGCAGTTCTTGGTGCAACGACCAGGGCTTGCCGCCAAGACTGACCCCTCCAGGACTGGCCCCTCTGCGTCTTCGGCCCTCGCGATCGCGTGGCCTGGACTGGTCTGGAATGGAGTGCCGGATGGTTTGAACAACGACCGGAGAACTGGAGAACGCAAATGAATGGAGTGAATGTGGTTGTGAAAAGCTTGGAAACATGTTGGAAACTACTGTAAGCGATTTTGAACTACAGCATTCATATGCATTCATGACACTTTGTATTTTTGTTGGACTTTGTGCGCTTTGTGGTTGATTGATTTCACGGGTCAAGGTGTAGGTCATCAACTATTCCAGTCACATGTGGTGTTTAGATGTGTTCAGGGATGGAGACTGTAAAAGGTTCCATTGGTGGACAGAGGCTTGGTCCGCAGCAGGAGTTTTCCAAGCAAGACTGTGGATAGTGTCGCCTGAACTACTCATGGGAATGATGGAAAGCCGTGAACTGTTATGATTCAGCGATCTACAATTTCTATAGTTGATTTGCTAGATACGTAATTAGACAATGATGGATTATGATGGTGAAAACTTAACCAGGATAGTTTGACCGAACAGGAGCTTTGAATTGCTGATTTGTTTCCTCTATTGTTGCCCACTGTCAAGCTTGTTGCTTGTTTGTTGTTCTGATGTGTTTTGCTCCGCATTGTGCTGTTCATGCGTGTTCTCGTGCGAAACCGGACCCCCCGGGTCCCGTGGTCACGTCCCTCTCTTCCGGGAACCGGAATGGATGTGGACGGGTCCCCGTTCGGGCGGGTCCCAGGCTCCGGTCTAACAACGTTGAGCGTGGTGAGACGGCGAGGAGCGATACAGCTCAGTTTGCTTTTGTTGACAGAACGACGATGATCCATCTGAAAAGACATCTATGATGCAACTACGACCTGCCCCTGCCCCTGCAGATCTGTGGAGGGGCAGGGGCATCTGAAAAGACATCATCTATAGTTTTTATGATGCCCTGCCCCTGCCGATTTCCGCACTGAGGTGGGGGAATCTGCACGCAGATACCTGCTGGATTCTCAGGCATGGCACACACATTGCTGGAACTTCGGTGGACCCAGAGCGATTTGGATTTGTAGCAGCCAAAGCTTGAAGGTTTTGCTGTTGACGCGGGCACCATCCCTGTTTCTTCAGGTACGTGGTGGGAAGCCCCTGGATCCGTGAAACATCAAAACCACAAAACTAGGCCGGGGATGGCCGGGGTCCATGGTAAGACCCCTGGAGCTCTATAGGTTAAAAAGGAAACGATGGACCAAAAGGAGCATGCTCATTTCCCAGCACCAATGAAGTCTTCAGGTATTTGCCTCTTCTTCACCACACCTAGAGCCAGGCCCTATCTCAAGACACCAAGAGCCGCCACTCGATGTGCGAAGCCATCGACCGATGTCGAAGCAGACCGATGTCGCTTTGCTGAAGACTCGAACTAAAGGCAGACACAAGGAGCACAGACTCTTCAATGGGACTGGAAGATTTACTGACCAGTTGCGTTAGGCCATCGGGGATCAAATATTCCACACATTCCACAAGATATTCCACAATGTTCCACAAAATTGTTGGATGATCTGATATTGTTTGACGGAAGAACGACTTCTCCGAAATCCACCTGAGAGCAGGCAGACCGCGTAGTTCTGAACTGTGAAAGAGTCAGAAGCAAAAAGTATGGCCATCGGGGCACCTGAAGAGGTACTGCAGTAGATTCTAGCACGAGATGGGTATGAAGGGAGATCAGATTTCCAGGTGCCCTGATCTATACATTGGGTCTGTCCTGTTACTATACCTGTGGCAGTCGGTAAACAATGATCACTAATATATATATATATAGATATTACTAAGCATCATCATCTTCATTGGCAGTTGAGTTAGAACAAGGCCTTTACTAAGCATCATCATCCACTGGGCCCTGTCATGGGATAGACGCAAACCGTACCCAGACTCTGAGGATCACCCTGATTTCAGTCGCTGCAGTCGACAACACTCCACAGCTGCGCTGCCCTTCCTCGTGCCCGGGAAGACCAGATGTTTAAAAGATGCCAAGGCTAATGCCAGGCTGGACCGGGTGTGTGGCCATTTTAACCCGATGAATTCAGGTAATATCACTTATCTAACTCCAGATCCGATCCACACAGGGCAGATCTCCCGTTGAACACCGGAGATCTCCGGGGTTCTTCACGTCTCCGTACCGTACCGTGCTTCGTAGCGATGGGGCAAGCCGAACTCGGGCTCTGCCTCGGGCTGCTGCTGTGCACTGGGCGCTCGTTTGGGATGCATGCGACCCGGCAGGACGGAGGGCAATGGAAGTGAAATTGCAGAGTCTGGGAGATCAGGAAGATCAGGGAGATCTGTTCTGTACATGTTGAATCGTGTTGGCAGGTATTGATTTGACTGGTCAATTTGTTTGGTGCTCTGCTGACTAGAGCTGCCAGCGCTGTCGCTTCCTGAGCGTTCGTGAGTGAGGGGTAGCAAGCATGGCATGGGGAAGCTTTGGTGTTTTGGCTTTGCGCTGTTGATCCAGCGCTTTTAGGCCATCAGTGTTTCCACAATGGACCGGGCACAGACACTGGTCATGTCTTTGCGTTTGCACCCAAACGACTTACTCCATAGTAGGCCGCTTATGTCTTGGTCCAACCAAGCCAAAAGCAAGAAGGTTTAGTATGGTTTACTTATGTTTACTCCATTTGGATGCTATCCTCTTTATCCAACGAGCAGCAGCCGTGTTTAGCTTCGCATGCGGAACGTGTCGCGTGCCGCCGAGGTTCAGATCATGGTCACCAGCAACTTGGTTTTGCGCCAGAATTCTTCCCTCTGGGCGAATTTAGCCAAGTGCTACATATAAATATATATAGCGATCGCAAATGGAACACATGGACAGGTGGGTGAATTCCATCGCATGAGGAATCCCGGCTCCTCCAAGGCAAGCTCTCCTCCTTCGAGCGCCGCCAAACGCTCCGCGACGTCTTCATCAGCTGCGCGGCGCGTGTGGCGACGTTGGAGCTCCACGGCAGCGACAGCCGTGAATGATTTGACCAACAGAGGTAGACGAACCCGACCCGTTCGACTATCCCAGTATAGCGTACCATACCCAGACGCTCCATGGGACTGCCATATATGCCGATCAGTTGGGGTGGTTTGGGGGGGTCAATGTAGGCATATATGTTCCAGTCCCATGGAGTGTATGGGATAGGGTACCCCAGGTGGACCGGGTCCTTTTTCCGACGGATCCCCCGGTTCACCGCGTTCGGAGTCCCGAGGGACTCCACTGTCGGAGCGAGGTGCGAAAATGGTCCACCAGTCCCAAGTGTACTTCCGTGCAACGCAGAGCGTGAAAATGGGGCGGCACCCCCGGAGGAATTTGCCAGTCCAACAATGGATACACTTCTACACGAATCCTCAAGAAATGTGGACTATCTCAGCGCAAAATGCGCACGCCCCACTCGCATGCAAGAACTAGCGGAGCGTGGGTTGGAGATGCTTGGAGCGTTCTGTTTACCAGCATCTCCAGCATGGTCATCGTACGGACTCTGGACCGGAGGTGCCGCCGTTCATCGTTTAGAGGGATTGTTTTGCCTGCAATGTTTTGCAATGCTTTTCCAGGCACGATGTGGAGCAACTCTTCTTCTTGGGCGATGCAGCAGATGTGGATGAGGAGCTACGATTGGGCTTCTTGCATTACATCTTGGCTACACACCCGACAAAGATTGTATGGGGTATTACAGTAATAGTACCCTAGCAATCCATGTATGGAATTTTCATATATATATATATATACATAGAATATGTAATATGTGTGCATATTAAACCGGACCCACATTGCGGTGGTTTCAGGGGTCAATGTAGGTACTAAGTATTACATACATGGATTGTTTGGGGTATGTATTCAGATCTTTTGTTTGGTATCATACATCCACATACCCACACGTCCGCATGTTTGCACGAGCTCATACCTCATGACTACAGTATATACCTCATGAATATTAGAGGGGGTCTCATGATTTGTGTTATGTCACTTATTCATGTCATCTATTCACCCATCGCAGACAGACTAGCTGACTTGATTTTGATGCTGTGATTTTGTCTCTCGCTACAAAGCTCCTGCTTTGACCACGAACGGAAAGGATAAAAATCAACTCAGGTCTGGATGGTAGATGGAATTTGTTCTTCCAGATGTCCAGTTTCCTTGTGTTGGTCTTCCGGGCGGAACACTTTTGCGACCTGACACCATTCTCCCCTGAGGCTTGAAGGAAGAAGGAGCCAGGCAGTTTGTTTGGACTGACATTGCATTTTTTGGAAGGAAAGACCATGTGACACAGAGCTGAAGGGGTCGCTGGACATATCTGGACATAAGAAGGGGTCACTTCAACAGCAGCCCTTGGCACTCTTGCCAACCGGATTCCAGATGCTAGGTGGCTGGGTGCCAACATGTGCAAACCGTTTGGGACCCAGCGACATAGGTGAGGTGAAGGCAAAGACCCTCAGCTGCTTGCGGTTTGGTGCTTGGGTTGCTTCCTGGGGTCGCACGTGGATCTCCTAAAGCACCCATGGGAATGCAGTGGAGCTGCTTGAAGCTACTTAGTCCAATTGGAGCAGTACGTAGCATTCATTGCCGGATGGAATTGCAATGGAAACCCTCATGGGCCCCCCAAACAAGCCAATTTGGCTACATACTCCCTGCCATGGTAGCTTTTCGTCCAAATCTACCATGGATCGTGCCTTCCAACAAGGTACGTGCATCCCTATACATGTTGTCCCTCGATTCTTAGGGTATGTGTCCATATTCAAATGCGGGCGACTACCCCAACCAATGCTTCTTGCTACGTTTGTTCGCAAACCTTATGACCGATGACTCCAGTCCAATGACCAACCTGTATCCACATTTTAGGGACTCTCTACTGTACTCTGGATTTGTTTGGATATCCCGTTTCAAAGGTGGTCAGGGTGGGATCTTTGCCCACCTTCTGAGGATATGGGCCAGGAGCCCTAGGGCTGGATCACCCCAACATAAGATTCCTCACCCACTCTTTCTTCACATCACCGACTCTTTCATTCCTGGTCGAAGTTCCTCGGTGCATGGACGTCCAGGTTCAACGACCTGGTTTTCGTGGGAGGCCCCGACGCGGACCCGGCGGTGGAGCGCCCCTGGGCAGAAGGAATAGCCCGCTTCAGGGAGGGGAGTTTTTTGCTCCAAACAGTGTGGAAGCACTAGGGGTTCTTAAGGCTATAGTCATTAAGAACAGGTGTTTGATCGAGGTGCTCGCATCCGCCGCTATCATGCGGTACATTCATTCACCTCGAGATCTTCGATGTGCATTTCGACTGCGCATGCTCGCAGAATCTGGTGGGCCCTCTTCGAGACTGCGCTCTCGTTGTGGTGCCGTGCACACTTTCGGGCTTGGTGATCACTTTTGGTGGCAGGCGCAAGGGAAACCTCGTGCTTTTGTGGCCCACAGTCGACATTTCGTGACAGGTGCAAGAGATCGGAGCAGTTTTTGTGTACTGATTTCGTTCTGGACATGGTGGTAGTCTTCGGTGTGCTCTGATTTCGTGTGCATTGAGTCGTGACTTTTGGACCTCGTCTTCAGAAACCGGAGGAAGTCTCGAGCGAAAGCTGCGCTTGGGCATTTTGATGTTGTCTTTATAAAGTAACTTGGAAGTGCTCTTGCTGCGAGTCGCCTTGGCAGGGCTGCGCAATGTGAATCTTGATGCGCAGATTTTGCTCGCGCCGAGTCGCTCGAGATTCGGAAGGGGCAATTTGCACGGGCTTGAGGCTTGTATGGTCCATTTCAAGTGCAGTAGGGCCTATACAATTTGATTCACAGGTCCAAAGAAACCGGATGAGTATCTTCTTTTCGGAAGGAGTTGTATAGAACAACCAACCAACCAATAAGCCAACCATTCCAGCACTGGGTGAGCATTCCCTGGCAAAAGAAGGTGCATTTGGACGAGTTTTTGTCTACCCGTCTCGGCGCAGCAACACCCATGCCAATAGCGGACCATGTCTCTATGCGACCCACGTTACGGGTATCACGTCAATATTGCCAGGGAAGTGGCCCCAACGGTCTTGAGGGAAAACCTGGGCAGATGGGGAAGCGATGAAGGCAGCCCGGAAATCATGAAAACTACAGACCGTGTGCTAGTGCCGAAAGCGAGGCGACGTGACGTACGTCCTTGAACGCCCCACGGCACGGGGGTTCCGCCTGGCCATTGGCACGGCGTGGCTCGCGGAGCACCGGCCACGTGGAGAACAGTGAAGTGGGAGCTGGGTATAGGTGGGCATCCACTGGTCCGAAAGGGAAAAATGCAATATCCAAAGGTGGAACATGGTGGAAACATCTGATTTTGTTTTAAACATTTTTGGCCATCGTGATACTTGTTATTTGTGGATCCACGGGTTCTTTAGTAGGCCACGTTGTTCAACCTGCGGGGCCCCCCTTGGGACTGGATGGGAAGTCATGCTGAACCACATACATGGCTCCTCGGTGAAGAACGAGTCTGAGAAAAGCATTGATTGAGGATGCACCCGAATGTTCACAGTCTTCCAAACAAGTTGACTTAACGTTTTATAGATGGTTGCTTTGGAGTTGTTGGACTTTGATTTCTTTTGACAGAAATGAATTGTTCGTTGGCCATCTCTCCTGTTTGAAACGTGTTTGATACCTCATGTGTCGAGTCGATGTTGGCCAGAAATCACTTGCTAAGCAGGGCCCTCTTCCAAGTGACCTGTGACGCGTTACATTTGCAAGCCGCTGGTACTTTTTTGCCAACATCATCTCCTGCCAAGTGTTTGACTCCCGTGCTGAAGAAGGTTTTTCTTGCAAAGCAAAGGTTTTGGGGACGTGAACTCCTTGGGCCTGGCAGACCACCGTCCTTGTTGATTTGGAAAAGGACATGTGCCTTGGTTAGGAATCAATATAGAGGCTCTTAGAGGTTCATCAGGTTTTGGCTTTACTACTTGTATAGTCCATCAATAGCGTTGGCACACCTAGAGTCACCTTCCCAAACTCGCGGCTGTGAAGCTCAAGAACGCTTAGCTTAACACCCGCTTCACCTCCAAACCAAAAATCGCCCGCTTGCGTCAACTCGGGTGGCCGGTTTTCTTGCGCCTCACGTTGGCACTCCACTGGCCACGCCCAGGCCGGACCTGGACTACGTGACTTGGTTTTGCTTACTGTACTCCATATGGGTGAATTCCTGCGGGGGAAGTGGTAGTAGTATCTTCAATTTTTCTCCCGGCTCCTGGACTGCAAATTCAAGGTGATGTACCTGGACGATGACAGCTATTTGCACCTCCCTCGCCTCCTCACTGCGCTGCAGGCGCTCCGCCAGCGGCAGGGGTGTGACAAATCGCTGAAAGTGAACCTTTAGACATCCCAGAAGAAAGGTGTTAACTTGGGGGTCAGTTTCTTGAGAGCATGGCTGTGTCCTTTGGAAGGTTTCAAACGAAGAGCCGGGAGTCTGGGAGCCTGGGAGCCAAAATGTCTGTTGAGACGCCAGTACTGAGCTGACTGCAGTTTGTCTACTGTAAGTTGATATGGCTACTGTAGCATCATTACACATACATAGCGCAAGACTTTTCAACAGGCTCGAGTAAGCTGTCGGAATGTGAGAACAGCCAGAGCAGAATACGTGCAGAACAAGCACTTGAGGTTGCACAGCTTCAATGAACAGCTAACGGCTCGGGTGGTTTGTCACTATATATTCTACCGTATGTTATTCAAGAATGATGATCCTTCACAGGATTACAGGCTACATGCCAAACGATTGGGAAAGGAGCCCACTTCCGGCAACTTCACTTTGAGTATATTCTACAACATTATTGCCAGGCGACAAGACAAGGATGGGACCAAGCAACAAGTTCAGGCTCATGATGGCTGTTTCCTTGTACTACGTACTCTCCCTTCAGACATGTTGATCGCACTTTTGGAATGGGTAGTCTACCGATCCTCTCAGTCCTCTCTTCTGGTCCAAGATTCCAGAGGACTTCTGTAGAGCATATCCCGCTTAGATCGCTTCCCCGGTCGCCTCACCCCATCGGCCCAAGTCCCAACGATTCCATCAAACAGAGTGACTCAGAGCGCCAGGTTGCTCCGGAGTTCGCCAGGTTGGTCCGGTGTTCTTCGGTCTCAACAGCGCCGCATGGATTCCGCGGCGCGGCGCGGCGGACGCGTCGCGTGTCGTGTGTGGTTCGGACGCCCGCGGAGGCGCACGGGAGCCCATCGCTGGCCATGGGCTACGTGATGGAGACGCAGCTGGATACCTTGGACTCTCGGATTGGCCGGACTGGGGTCGGCCAGGGGTTGCCAAGAGGAACGTTGATCTTTTCAGCTTTAAACTTGGAGATGTTGACACCCAAACTCCCTGTTCTTTTTGCTTTCGCGGGGGAAGCTTTGGGTCTTCCAGGTGCTTGAGTAACTGAATGAACATCCAAGACCTCATGAAATGATGGTACAAAAGAGCCTCCGGTTGACTGGACCAATACATCGAATCCCTCTCCGTTATATGTTCCGTAGTTGATGCTTGGAAACGGGCCGGACCCCTCTCGAGGGGTTCAAGAGACCAGCTGGGGTGTCCGAAAATGGTTGTTTCATGGACAATGCCTGGGGGACAAACAGAGGGGACAATGTGAAGGTCACTGGTATCCCGGCACTGGTTCATTGTGAAGCTATCTAATTTGATGGATGTTCCTTGCCCAGCAAAGATCTTTGATCTTAGTTCCGGCTTGGCGAACATTGATCTGTTGCAGGGGAGAGTGGCGGAGGCCGGTCGAGCGGTGAGTGAGCTGCTTCTGTGTCAGTGTTCGACCTGGGAGCTCGGACCGAATAGCTTCTTCAGTTCGGAGCGAGATAGATCGTCAAGATATGTCAAGATTGTGGTGCCAGGGCTGAAGTGTGTTGGGTGTTTTTTTTTTGGGGGGCCTAGGGAGACCCCCGGGAGACCCCTGGCTGGGTAGCTACTTCTTAGACTGGTCATCTAGACCTGAACTGAACCTTTCTCCGGGGTCATTGCCTGTCAGTTGAACACACAACCCACCTCTGGTGGCGTTGTTTTCACACTGATTTGAGCATGTCTTGGGAGTTCTCCACCAGGGACATTCCTAGCATTTCCTATAGCTATAATGTTTCAGTTTCAAGGCTGCGCCTGCCTGCCTGGAAATGCCCAGGAGACGCACATTTGTACGGTGTGCCCGTTGAATTGTGACTTGGACAACGAAAAACATCCCTTGTTGCGGTAGTGTGTCTGTGTGTGCAGCAAACTACAACAAAAACATACCAAAAAAGCCCATGTGGTGGTACGAACTCACCGTCGTCGTGTCTCCACTTGAATCTACAACCTCCGCATGCGTTCGGCTGCGTCCGCTCTCCCCCTTGGTCGGCCTTCGGCCGAATCTGGCGAAGCTGGGCGGGAAACCAACACGAAATAGTTCAACGTACATAAGAGCCTTTTGGTGAGCAATGCCAAGACGGCCAATATATTTTTTCGGTGGGGGCGGGGGTTTCCACAAAAAAGACTCCTGATAAATGAATCTGGGATGACTCCAGTCCAATCCATTGTGCATTGAAGGAGCCCGACAAAACCGGGCCGCAGGTTGGTTTTGATACCACGTGAACCTATCCCAGCTAAGGTGAGGCATGCCAAAATGATCCCTTTCTGAACGAGTTTTGCAGCCACTTTCCCTTGATGTCGCTGGGCGGTTGCGCCTTCCTCATTCACCAGTGCAAGTTGCCCCTTGGAGAAGTAGATTTGACAAAGTGGGAGACTACCCCAAACTGTTCAATATCAAGGTTCAGATACAGAATGGCTCAGAATGGGTCGTGTCACGTACATCGTCTTGTATCTTAGGGAGATCCCCAATGCTTGTTCATTCAAGTTCCCGCATATTGGAAAACTGGAAAATACACAATGAAGTCCACCCGGCAGGCAAATGGCTTTCTTCGTGTGATTGGGTTTGTTTGTGCATTCCTATCACATTTACACTTTCCTCAGGTCGTGAATGTGGGTTGTCTTGGAGTATATATATATATATAATTGATTTTGAGTGAACATAGATATCATAAATGAGCACAAACGAGCTGGCAAGTGCGCAGCAAGTCAGCAAGTCTGTTGATCCAACAAGTGGGCGACAACAAGTGACCAAGCCCATGCGAAAAGCCTGAAAAACATTGTTCTCAATGGGTATGTGGCGTCAGTGATCAGTTATCCATTTCATTGATTTACAAAGCAGAGCGGGCGGTGTTGATAGCAGTCGCCCAGGTTTGGGCAAGATGATGCTGAAGGAAATTTGCAGGTGGGCCTGGTGGGTAGGGCTCCAGGCAGTGGAGGTTAAGAGTACCATTGAGAGCCCAATCTAGATGTGGGATCCATTGCCTTGTAAACCAAGTAGTGCCAGCCTTGATTTCTTGGGCACATATACAAGTGACAGAGCTGATAGCTCCCTCAACGTATTTGGGTTCTGACTAGAAGAATGTTCAAATCCATCAGCAAAACCAGCGCAAATCCCAGTTCTTCCCAGTTACATCGGTCAAACATCACTTTTTCGCCAGTGACTAACTCGTTTCGCCCCCGGCCCCGCGACCCGCTGGGGCGGTCGAAGGATTCAACAGAACTCGCAAGCGGTGTTCTGCTTGTTCCGAGCCGGGACTCCCTTGGCTCAGACTCCCTTTGGCCCAGTTTCTTGGCGCCCAACAATCCATGTGTGAAATACAAACGTACCCTCTCAAACAAGCCCAATGTATAGGTCAAGATTGCATATATGGGCTTTTTTGGGGATAGATTCTGTCCACACGACCAAGCGAGTTCACATGAAACCACCCAGGTCAACCGCCCAGGTCACGACCTGGTGTCCTGGTGTCCTGGTTCTTTGTGTCGCCACGGTGGGGCCGTGCCATGGTGCATGGCCGTTCGTCTTCTCCCACTCTGGGTGGACGATGAAGGACAGAGCTGCGATGAGGACGATGAAGGACCCCCAAGAAACTGGGTTCAGGTCTATGGTTGCTTGGACGTAACTGGTTATGCATGGTTATCCTATATTGCTCAGAAAAGGTTCGAAGGTCATAGGGGATGAGAGGGGTATTTCATGGATGTTCATGGTATTTCTATATTTGCCTAAATGATTTCCTCTCGTTTAGTGCTCCTTTTTGCGGGCTGATTTGTCACAGAAAGCGATTCACTGACGACTTCAGGCCTGCGTGCAGAAAGCGCCACTCGGAACAGGGTATGCAGGGTGGGTTTTAGTGGGTTATAGTGGGTTGTAGTGCACGACTGATAGCCTGTGGTGAAATTAGACATGGAAATGATTAGACCAGTTGAGGTATTCTGGCGATGCTGCACCACATCATCGTCGAATAAATACTCCCTCTCACTCTCTCTCTCTCTCTCTCTCTCCTTGTATCTATAGTTGTTGATTAGGCCATATCCTGCTGCATTGGGCATTTTTGCGGGCACAGATTTCTATCAATGCAATGATCTTGTTCCGAAAAAAACAACTTGTTAGATACCTGAATCACAGCAATTGTGGGAACGACAATCAATGGGCGTCGACGCCTCCGTCCGAACATGTTGTGTTGCCGGGTTGCGCTTCCTCCGCAACCTGGCCTTAGGTTGGAAGAACCTGCCAGGTTGGTTCAACAGACCTTGCCACGTCCCACGTCCCACGTGCCATGCGCGCACGTCACTTTTCGACTGGTGCACCCAGCTCCGAGGGTCGGCTTCCTTCTGGTCGGCGACCCGCCCATCTGGCCCCGGGGGGGAAAAGAGCACCATCCAGCCATCCAGGCCCTCCAACCTAGAAGCGATGGCCTCCAACTCAGGGCTGGGAAACTGCGTCCACCATCCGTTCGCGGTGTTTTTGTTTTTCCGAGGCAGCGGAACACCATGCAGGTGGTGCACTACTTCGGCATGTTTGCCCCGCGGTGTTGCTTTTTATGTCTTGTCGGGTTATTTATGACTTTACTTCCAGACGCTCCATGGGACTGCCATCTATGCCGATCAGTTGGGGTGGTGCCAGAGGGGTCAATGGGGCGGCATCTATTCCAGTCCCATGGAGTGTATGGGATTTACTTGAACATTTTCCCAACCTGGTCAATCCCCCAAACCTGATCACTGGCTTCGTCACCTTCGTCCAAGTCTAAGGCACCCAAGTGGTTCCTGGGCATGGGCTGGGTCGCTTGGCAGAGTCCGAGACTGACGGTTCAGACGGAGGAGGGTGGTGGCGTTCATGTTCTCATGGTTGCCTTACGGCGACGGGTGTGCTGATTGGTCTCAAGCACTTTTTTAGAGCATAAGAGCAATGTGTTTTTGCTGGGTTCCCAAAGTCTGTGTTTAGTGTGCTTCTTCGTTTTTTTTTGTACTTGGTAATTCTCACAAACTCGGACACGAACTACTACTTCTTCTGGGGGTTCGATGGGACGGAACCTACTACTGTCTATATACTCTATACCTCTCTATACTACATGGACGGAACCCTAAAAACCCCTAAAAAAGAACTACAGTTTTTGGTGCTTTCTGTTGTTTTTTTTCGCGGTTTCTTTCCCACTGCGGCAGGTCTTTGGGCGGCGGATCGTGCAGTTCTTGGCGAAGAACGCAGCCGACTTGAAGAAGCATGGTGGCCGGGCGTATCAGACCGAATGTATCCCCGTTAAAAGATCCTCTACAAAATAAAATGAAGGCCTATATATTAGGCCCTATATCAGCAGGTCATTTTGTAGAAACTAACTTTTGGGCTCAATCCCTTCATTTTGTAGAGACCCTGCCCGTCATTTTGTAGAGATGGTATTTCCATGCTCGGCATTTTGTCAAAGATAATGTTTGACTCGAACATTTGTCATTTTGTAGAAACACAATAATTGAAAGTCTCATTTTGTGGACTCAAACAACAGCATTTTGTAGAGAATGCATTTTGATGCATTTTGTAGAGATTGATTCAACTGTGGAAGAGGCATTTTGTAGAGATGTTTTGCGCGATGCATTTTGTAGAGATCTCCAGTCGAGTGTGGAAGTAGCATTTTGTGGAGAAGGTAGCTCAAAAACACTTTGTAGATATTTTTTGGGCTATTCGGGTTGAGTCTTCCACAGCATGTTTAGAGAATTTTCTGGAAGCATGTTGTAGATATGTTGGATGATTTTGATAGATTCTGTATCCCCGTTAAAATACGGGGGGAGGGGTGGAGGCCCTCATTTTGTAGAGAAAACTATCTAATTTGGCTCTACAAGGTGACACCCTCTACAAAAGGACACCCTCAATTCAGGGCACAGCGTCTCGGGCCTCGACGTCATGCAAAAGGTGCCCGATGGACGTGAAGTGAACATCCGGAAGGTGGTTGATCCAAGCAGATTTTCCGGTCCTTTTCGCATGGATCACGGTGACGTCGAATCTTTGCACGGAAGCAGCTCCACCCATTGCGATTGGAAGATCTACCACGACCATCCGGTTCCAGTGGAGATCCCTAAGTAGTCCAGCCAGGACATCCATTGGATGGTCCTGGTATCCCCTGAAATCGAGCACCCTAATGAAGGCAGCAGATTCCAGTCCCATGGGGTGTTTGGGATAGTTTCTGTTTTCAACCCAAGAGCGATGGCCTCCAACCTAAGAGCAATGGCCTCCAACCTAGAAGCGATGGCCTCCTGTTTGGGATAGATTCTGTTTTCATGGCCCTCCTGTGTCCTCGGCTTCTCCAAGGTGCTGCAGACGTGCAGCTGGGCTTCTGGCTGGCGCCCTTGGAGGGCGTACATTGGGTGGATCTTTGGTCAAACAAGGATGGGATGAGGTATATTGCAGATGTTCTTTGCATGTTCATGGGGAGACCTCCCAACTAAGTTTAGTTTGTGTTTGATCTTCCAATAAATTCGAAGAAGCTGGCCAGAGATTGTTTGGGTTACGTTGGTATAGACACTGGATGGGTTGGTTGCCATGGTTTGGCTATTGGTGCTATTGGGACTGCATGATTGTTTTTCTTTATATCTCTACTGGCCTTTCGAGCCACCTATGTTGGCTCGCTTGGGTCCAAATAGTTGCGGAGAGATGCGCAGATAGCTTTGTCGGTTCCCTTGCCAAACACCAAATGGCCACTTTAACTAACAACCTCCAAGATGTTGCATCAGATCCCCGCAGAGGGTTGCTTTCGATCAGGTGAACAGCTCAAGTGTATCTGAGTGGCACGGGGGGACTAGCTCTCCGCCTGTAGGTTTTGTTTCAACAAGCTATGGATGCATATGGATGCGAACGGTCAACATATCATGTTGTGGCCTAGCCACTGAGAGTCTCTAAGGACATGAAAGAGGGCCAGTTCCATGACTACCCCATGCGAGGCGTACTGGGCGGAAGAGGGAGAGGCGCCAAAGCTTGGATTGGCAAGGAACTAGAATTGACAATGATTTGGTTTTCCAAACAATCTAATGATTTATTCCCTACAGGTCAAAGACCTGGAGTTGATCATACTAAAACACTATGTATATAAATATGTATCTAAACTCAATGAGGTAAAGGACCAGGTTTTACAGGGTCTTTGGACCTGTAGGAATTGTTTTGCGTGTTTGATTGGGCGCGTAGAAACGAGAGGAATGTTGGTGGGATGCTACTTGTAGGTTCTGAAGAGGAAGTATACTGGGTATCGAGCAGGTTTGGAGCTCACCATATATTATAGTAATATTAATATGCATTTTTCTTCAAACTTATTCCCCTTCTTTGGGCCTCGTGGTGTCGGCCTGCACTAGAGCGGCGGGTCGCGTCCTGTTTGGTTGCTTCGCTTCGGGTTAGGACCGTAGTTCGCTTAGGGCCCGTCCCGCAAGCATCTCGATTAGGGAAGAAGGTAGTTTACCAAAGGTGCCAAAGGTGAAGTTTAGATATTGAAGGTGAAGTTACGCAGTTTAGATATTCATGTTTTCACATGGATTCATGGATTTTGTGCATAAGTTCGCCGCAGGAAATGGACCCACACAGTCGTGGTCAGTCGCCCCATGCGGTCGCTAGCACCTTTGCGAGGTAGCACCTTTGCGAACGGCTGCACCGAGAAGACCATTTTGGTGCACCGCATGAACGAGGAATCCTTCGGCAGTGAAAAGCGATGGCCTAAGAAAACGGAACCGAAGAGCGATGGCCTCCAACCTAAGAGCGAGGGCCTCCCAAGTTGTTGAAACATGCACACATCTGGATGGTTCCACATGCCACACAGCTGGACCATCCAACCAAGATCCAAGCCCTTTTGTTGTAAGGCCAGTCCGTTGGTGACCCATTAGATGGTCCTGATACGTAGGTGGACTCCCCCACCCTCATCCTAGTACCATGTTGTACCTGACCAAACACAAAGGGCTTGCCTTTTGCAACGGCCGGCGCCTTTGGTCTACCTCAAATGGTGTCTTTTGGTTGGATTTCATTTTGCAGCTTTTTCCAGGTCTCTCTTGGGCAGACAGATACGACATGGGGAATGGAGTAAGGAATGTAGCAATATGTAGCAATGCTGTGCTGCCGTGAAGTCTTTATCAACTTTGTCAGTCACCACGATCTTTGCACTGTACAAAGCTCATGGAAGATTCCTTCGCACTGAAGCACCTGTCCATCAATGATCTCAGAGTCTTGAGTGGGGTAGATGAACCATGATCAACCAAAGTCTCTCTCTCTCTCTCTCTCTAAACTCACACCTCCCACACCATGTCGAGAACCACTTCCTCAAGCGTCGTGCGACCTGCAAGGAGCGGTGGAAGGACTTCGATGCCGAGACCTGCGAGTTGCATTGTCCTCTCACGCCGTAATCGTGCGGTGGTGATCCATGTGCCGTGCTGTGACAGATGTGACGTGCCATGCTGCTGGTGCCAGGTGGGAGTGCGGGGTGGCACGGTTAGTCTTTCTGTTCTGTTGGGATCCAAAACTGAACACTTCAAGGTAGACTCATGATTATGCAAAACACCACAGTTGGATTCTTTGGTTTTAGCTATTAATATATATCTATATATACACAGATCAAGAGTCTACATCAATGCCAGGCCACCATGGTCAGTGGCACATGAGCATCAAGCTGTGCCATGGTTGGCCGCGGAGGCTCGTCCTGCAGAGGAGTCTGAGATGACGGAGATGAGGCGCCATGAGGTGCAGATGCTCAGTTGCTTCCAAAGAGCAAGAAGCATAGACTGTTCAGACTAGACCTACAGAAGATCTACTGTTTGTAATTAACAAACAAGATTCAAGTTTATTGAGTGATTCATAGTGGTTCAATGTTTGTTGATGCATACTGCATCCATGCTTTGAACCACAGTTTCAATACCTTGGTCTTCTTTGAGCCCTATCATTTGGGATTCCCAACAATGATCTAACAATTGATTGATCCATATTGATCCCAAATGGCCCTTTCCTTTGCATCTTCTCCCCACGAGTCGCACCGACCGCCACCGCTTGGGCCAGGAGAACCGCTTCGTGTAGGGTCGGACCCGCGGCGGCGGCGCGCCGCGGTGCACCGGAAACAGTGCGTCGTCCGAAAAGGACCACGGTAGAAGGGGGATGTGCGGAGAAATGGACATGGGGGGAAGGATAAGTTTAGTGTTTGATGATCAGATTCAAGTAATTTCAAGTATATATAAATATAATATATATAAATATGGTATTGAAAAGTATTGAAAGACATGAGTTCATTTGTAGGGGAGATTCCGTAAGTTCTGATGTCCGTCTACCAAGAACATCAAGTCTACTTGCCATGTTTGTTCTGGGCGTGTCCCCGAAACGCCGTGCAGGTGGGTGGATACCTGGATGAGCCAGAGCCTCAGTCGGGCCAGAGCCTGGATGTTTCAACTTAAGGGAGTTCACCAGAACCAGACACCAGACTGCACACCAGACATATCCAGACATGTATATGATTTTAAAAATACTTACATTAGGGGTGACTTCAGGGCTCGACATGGAGTGTTTGGCATGCATGTTCTTTTGAGACCATGACACCTGGGATCCTATAGGGGGCTTGAGAGGGATCCAACCTCCCAAGCCTCCGTTCATGTATCCCACGAACTATATACAGTGCACGAACCAAACCTCAAGGTTTTAAGAGATCCCATCATCTTGCGGTTTTTGAAGAAAGATTAAGTTATGTATTTTATATATATCATAATATGCCTGATTCCCAGTGTTTGGAATCTCAACCGAGAGCCTCTTGGAAATGGAATCCTTGAGTTGCCCCCAAAAACCTGCTGGACACGCTCCTAGTAGTAAGAATGCTACTAGTAGCGATGCCAGGAGCCCCTAGTAGCTTCTTGCTACTAGTAGTAAGGCCAGGAGCCCCTAGTAGCGTCCGATCGCTCCTAGTCTCTTAGTCTTCCAATTGCTCTTCTCACTCTTCTTCTCATCGCTTCCATCCCGTGGCTCGCATCCACCCGAACCCCATCGGCGCGTGGTTGGCGCACGCCAGGCGGAGGCGGAAGCACGTCGCCAGCCTGGCAGCTCAGGGAGCAAAGACTCTCTCCGAGGCGATCGAGGCTCGCGAGGCCAGGAGGGGTGCAGGCTGGCGGATGAGTCAGACTCAGTGCGCAGTGCAGGCTGGCGGAGTCAGACTACGGCAGTTTTTTCGTTGAATCCCGGATGGCAATTTTCGCTGTCGTGTGGGATGTGTGGCGTGTGGTGATGAAGGTGATGAAGGTGGGAAGGTGATGTTGTGGCGAACGACCTTCCAGGTGGGTCAACCGACGTATCGTGCCATGACCCACTGATTCTCTCAGCCATCAAGCAGCAAAGTCATTGACCAACATGTATCCATGCACTTGCACTTCTAACATGAAAACTGTTGGTGACTGTTGGCGGGATAATAGATAAGATTTCAATACGTTTGCAATTGCCAACTCCACCGGCTAAAAAACTCAACAGACCCAATCACTCATTCAGCTCAGGCTTGTTGACGAATTGCTGAAACATCGACCCTCGAGGTGTGACGAACGAACCCCTCTCCCCGGCCCCACCTGAGAGCGCCAAGCCGCTCTTCTCATAGCTTCACCCTTATCCGCCAGGCGTCCCTGCGCGCCTGCAAGCATGCACGGCTGCTCTTGGCCTTCGTGCGACGGCGGCGCTGGGCTGTGAGCACCCGAGCCCGATGGGGAAGGGGGGGACACGGTGGAATCAGTGGCAATACCAAGACATGTTGGACAACATCTCTCTATGGGGGGAATTCATCAGCAGTCCACATCAAGACATCGAATCCCCCAAGCAAATTGGTGTTTGTATGTGTGTGTGTGTGTGTTTGTGTTTGCTTCCCAGGGTTCTTTGGTGAGTCCCCCAACGATACGTGCACAACATGCTATTCAAGTATACATGGCATGTGCCATGGTAGTGGTCTCAACACGACAGATTGGTAGTGGGTTTGTCAAGGGATGTGCCATCCACCCTGCAATGCGGCGGTTTAGAGAGGTGGAATATGTTTGGATTTTTGGAGTATTTAAGCAAATGTATGTGTTTGAGTGAGTGATATATATATATATAGCTTTTTAGTTGATTTGTTCAATGAAACAACTACCGCTTGATAGGTTTGGTTGCCACTTTGGACCTTCAGCAGTGCACCAAAAAAGTGTTCAAAACATGTGCTGGTTCGTGCCGTTTTGCGCCATTTCGTCTACTGTTGGTCATTCTGTCCAAAATCTAAGAAGTGCCGCACCGCATAAATTTCTGCAACGTGCCCCAAGATTTTCTTTGTTTTTTGAGACACATGCAAGGAAGATCGGCGTATGATGGCGTATGAACAATCCATCGCCAATACCAAGGCTTCAGACCGGCAACGTGGAGGTTTCAAAACAAAACGCGTGCGTTTGGTTGTCATGCATTTGACAACTTATGTGTTTTTTTCTTTTTGTTACCCTTATAAGTTCCCATCATCCAGATGGTCCGTTCAGACCCCTCGGCAGTGGCTCTGGGCCTTCCGCACGGCGGGGCCCTGTAGCGGTCACCAGGTCTATGCACTCCGAGACTTCTGCCGTCGCATGGAGCGGTGACCCGTCACATGCGGGGTGGTATGAGCAGCAAAGACGAGTGAGGGAGAGGGGCGCAAGCTGGGGAGGGAGAGAGCTGATTTGCGATTTCGATCATGGTACATCCCAGGTTGCTTCGAAACAGACAGGTGTGGGCAGAAAGAATGCATTGCCATGCTTGGCCAAGCACCCACCTTGAAACCCCTTCGGTCATCCCTCACAAAAGCATAAAGTCAAGCATCTCAGGTACTGCGCACGTGTGGCGGCTACACCACAGTGGTGGGAGAAGAGGGCACAGGCATGGGGTGGGCAGGTTTGGTGCCACCGGGCACTTTTGTATTGATCTGTGAGTGCATTCTTTTTCAATGTGTTTGTTTTACGATGTTTGTTTCCAACTCGGACACCCACCAACCTTTCTTGGATCGACCATGGCAGGAGAGCAAGGGGCAGGTCCTGGTCTCCGCCAAAGTCTTTCTTTGCACCATTGCCTCCACCAGCCGTGGGGCACCTCAGCAGCTTCGAAACACTTCTCTCGGCCCGTGGGTCGAGTGACGAGGTCTGGGACGGAAGGTGATGGCTGCGGCTGGTGAGGGCTAGACATCTCTAGACCCTACTGGAGATAGGGTTTAAGATTGTTTAAGTCTGTTCATAATCCTGTCATTGCCTGTGAGGAGAGCTTGTTGTTGTAGGAGATGAATGGTTTTGTTTTGGCTCCTGGAAAAAGATGATTAAGGGTGAGAGAGACACAGTCAGATTGCCAGGGGATCGTAGAAACTTATAGGAGAGCCCACTATATACCAATCAATTGGGGAAAATCCACTACTAACCATGCAAAGTTGACCCTTGTTGCCCAACAGTTTGTGTAATTCTTTTTCCACCACGGCACTATCAAACCATGTATTGTAATCCCGTGTTGTGTTTTAAGCGCTGACTGTGCTGACTCAGGTATGCTGCGCGAATGGGAGGCACATGGGAGGATCATGCGGGTGAAGAACGAATCAGAATGCCAATCACTTAGAGCTTTTAGCATTGTTTAGGTCGTGTTACCACTCACCCCGAACCACTGTTCTGCAGCAATAAGTTCATTTAAGGTTGAACATGTCACTCCAGGGTGACAACCCACTGTTGATGGTTGTGGATGGACAAAGGGTGCCTTTGCACCTCATGCCGAACACCAGAAACCGACCGGTGAGCATGAAGTGTTCGCAAGTACTGTGTTCTGCAAGGTATTAGGTTCATAATCAGGATACAAGTACTTCACTTGCTGCATCCATGCTGCAAATTGAACTCACACCATCAATGCTCCCCATGTTGATACCTCACGCCAATGATGTTTACCTGCTGAGCTTGAGGTAGATGCCTGGCCCCTGAAACCAAGCGACGGACGTCTGACCCAGTCAAACCTGGTCCTGAAAACCTCATTGAGTAGCGAGTGTTCTTGTATGTTCAACTCCAGTAAAGTGAGGTCCAACTGACCTGTCACAAACGTATATATGTATATGTTGTATAATGAACATATATATATATATGTGCAATTCATATACTGCTTTTCGAGCTGACTGATGTCGAACCTTTTTCGGTGTCGGTGTCCCTTTGTTTCTCGTCGGTGCAGCGACCATCAGGAAGCCATGGGCAGCCAGCTGCACGTGCACACGGTGGTGGTGGATGAATGTGTCATGGCGACGTGAGGTGTGTCATTGGGTGGTCGAAAAGAAAGAAAGTTCTTTCATACATGGATGTTTCGGGTATATGACATGTGAATATGTGTGAATACCCGTGGCATGAATTGCGTGTGGAATTCTGAGCCGGGATTCTTTGGTTTTGAAAAGCCTTCTGTTGCGACGCCGATTTCTGCACCCGGCACATCCAATCGGACCAATCTAGGCATGTTGCAAGCGCAGAAGGAATTTGACAAGTGGTGTATGTTCACCGCTGCAGTGACTGTTTCAGGAACTAGTTGCCTTTTTGCAGTCAGTTGCTGCGAGAAGGCCACAGGATCGCGCCAGGCAAGTAGGTGGACATGATTGGGGGCCAAACTTCCATCCTTCCCTGCGAATTGTTTGTGCCATTTTGTTGCTTGAGGTGGATGTACACCAGAATCCTCAACTGCTTTGCTGCCAGGGACCTTAGGAAGCTGGTGACATGGTGACATGGGCCAGGCGGGGAGGCTGGAGGCTGGGCGTACATGTTCTTTCATCTTTGTGAACAACAAGCTTTATCGTCCCTACTAGCGATGGCCTCCAACCTACTAGCGATGGCCTATACAATAGGCTGGATACCTTGTCCTTTTAAGGCATTTTTGGTCCTTTGATAGCGGTGATTCAAATGGTCCAGCAGGGAACGCGCTCAAGACGGTCACTGCATGTCATGGGCAAAGTCCATGCCAAGTGCCGCAGACATTGCTGCTAGGACTCCCTTTGGGTCAGACTGAGGGTCTTACAATAAAAACCATATCATTTGCCTGAATTATAGCGACGTCACCCGGCGTCACTTGAAAACTCGACCCAAGATTCTGAATTAAGGGCGGCCCTTCTTTTTCATTTTGTAAGATACTTCCACGCCAAGCACTTGCAAACCAGGCCTTGCATGTTTTTTTCAGTTCACGCTGGTTCTGCTTCGACGCTGGGCTCTCGGACGCATGGGTGAGTATATGGTGGAGCTATCGATCCCCGGGACGCCATCGATCCCAGGGGCGCGCGTGGAGTTGGAGCGTCAATCGCGCCCTGTTGGAGCTCCAATTTGGACGTCAGAAATCACGGAGAAAGCCCGGCCGCTCCTTGAAACAGTGTATCCGACCGTGCAAGGGCCATGAAGCTGTTGCCAGGGAAGCGGGCATGCCGCAAGAGTGAAAAGAGAGGGGACAGCACTTTGTTCTTGCAATATCTTGCAATGGTTTTTTCATCACACTTTTGAAGCTTCGTGTGAAGTGAGGTCATGCCATACCTGACTTGTAATATCTCGTAATAAGTCCTAGGTTGTTAGGTTGATTCCTTCTGCCCCCCTGCGACGTCACAATAGTTTCGTTATTTCACACGACCTAAGTCCTATTGTATTTCATTTTTGAAAAAAAGTCGACCTAACAACCTACGAATTACTATAATTCAGCCAGATATCATCACATCCCGGTGGACTCATGTGGTCTGTTTCGAAGTGAGCTGCGCTCTGCACCGCTTCGTCGGATCCCCCAGGCTTCGACTCCGTCCCGCCAATCTGGTTCGGAGCCCGAGATCGGTCGAGCAAGTGTCGGTCGGACCCGGAGCGAAGGCGGTGGACGAAGGCAGCGTGGACCTGTTAAAATCCTTGAAACATGGCGGGTGACTGGTGTGGCTCATCCGATTTATATATAGGATTATATAGGGATGTATAGGGTGTAGTGCCTGTAGGGTTGAATTGGCCGGTGTGGTGTGTTTTTTTGCGGCTGCAGGTCTCTGGCAGGCCCATTGTGCCGGGTTGAAGTTAACTTTTTGATTGGAAGTCCCTTAAATTTAAAACCTTCGTGTGATACCCTAGCAATTGCTGAAGTGGCAGCTGGTGTGTTACGCTCAGCAAGAACCCCACATACATGAAACCCAAGTCATTGACTCATGGCTAGCATGCCTCACCCGCTGAATGATATGTGGCAGGTTACCAAGAGCAAAACACATCAAAACACCTGACCTTACCAGCGCCGAACTCACGCGTTACTTGGATGTCATCCAGAACCACAAGGTCCAGTTTTAGATCTTGCCATTGCGTTCATGTGGATTGGAACGACGTCACAGACGTCAATTGACATTGACGACATTCACCGGACGTTTTATGCTGCAGTGCTGTATGACCTGGTTGTGCTTCAGCAATCTTCAGAATCTGCCGAATCTGCCGAATCAGCAGCCTCCACCCACGTCTCAGGTGCTCGTGGGAGATCACAAGCAGCTTCCACCCACGTGGCCTGGGCTGAAGATCTTAATCTGGAACAGGGATCAAGCGGATCAAGGGCTCAAGGATCTATTTTCCTAGACATCGTCACCACCTATGGAACGGTTGGTATACGTACGTATAATCAATGATAGTCATCAAATGGGGTTGTCACAGACCTATTTCGGACCCATGGAAGGTCTGGGATAATTCGGGAACCTCCCGTGGCGTTCTACGTCGAGTCAGCGAGTCAGATTCCCTCACCCACCGCACTTGGCGCCCCACGTGTCTCGTTATATGGTGAACTTTGCAACAAAGTGAGGAGAAACATTATCATTACTAAGGCCGCCCTTCAACAAGACCGATCCATTCCAAATCGATCCAGTCACGAGAACAGACGGATCGATGACCCTCTATAGACTCCCGTGGTGTGTGTTAAATGAATGCACATGGGTTTTGGTGCTCAACTCCTACCAGGGGCCTTCGAGGGCCGAGCGCACTCCCAGCCATGTACCAACCACTTCTTTCGTGGGACAAGTCCAGTCACTCATGGGGGGCCAACCGGACCGGACGAACCCGATATGCTCTGAGATGCAGATCGTGCTTGCCCAAGCACCGCAGAAGCGAGACTTCTTCGTGTTTGGGTCACCCACTGGCGCCAGGGCCACCCCAAACGGATCGAACACGGCCGGAGCAACGGCCACATCCACTCCGGAGCATCCGACCGTCCACCAGTGACGTCCCACTGCCAGGTCCATGGTCCAGCCACAGATCTTGGAGGATGGTCCTCCAGTCCCGAGCCGTTTTTCTTGGAGCAGGGAAGCTCTTATTAAGACTCTTATTCGATCAGCGCTGACGTTCTGCTAATGTAATGGTTTTCTTTCCATTTGTTGAATTCAGCCTTTACTTTGGATTATTTGTTTACCTGCCAACTAATTGTGAGTGAGTTGAATCATGTTGAAACCACAAAGCAGACTGAGTTCTCCCAATCCAAACGGATTTTCCGAAGCCTGCACAGATCTTGTAAGCCATGCCAGGTTCATTCTGTTCAACATCTGTGGCATTCAAGCTGATTCACCTGTCGACATGCCACTTTGATACAGACCTCCATTTGTTCCCAAGACAGGTTTAGCATGACTGAAGCATGAATTCCATATGATTCCCCAATCCATCCAGTTGGTCCCAAACCGGTCGCCGCCAAAACGCGGCGCAAAACGGCGTCCGCCTCCCCAGGGCACGGGGCACACACGCTCGTTGCTGGAGCGGTGCGTCTTGGCCTCCGGAAGGCGGTGCGATGCGCTGCGTCGGTCGAGGGATCCGTGTCGAAGAGACGGTGGCCCCGTACAGAAATAGCCAGATAGCCATAGATGCCCATATGGTTCGCATATGTTCACATGAAAGAAATACTTATTTGTGGGTTCAAACATGTGCTTGCTTTGAAATGCAGGGAAAGGAAGCTAAGCAAATTTGAAAGCACTCGCCAAGCAAATGTGTGATCCTTCTGGGCATTCCTATTGTTTGTTTTGCTCCTAACTGCACCCAGGAGCTCAGTGATTCGCATGAGTCCCATGAAGTGGTTGCCGGATGTGCTTAATTCTTGACCGTTCGCCAGGGTGCACCAGCTACGAGAGCAGTACCGCATGTGGTGACCTCAGCGACGGTCGCTCTCCAGCCGCCGACCCAACTCCGTCATGGCATCCGGAACACCGAAAAACGCGGGTAGGTCAACCACCTCCGACTCGTTTGGGCGGCTATCCTGTTCCTTTGGAAGCGTGGGACAAACACTAGGGGTTCCCTGGTGACCCACAGCCAAGTGGGGAGAAGCATCTGGCCAATCTGCAAAACTCGTGATGTGGTGCCACCATGAGTGATGAGTTCGTCCTGGGTCTTGGCAGCTGCAGCGTTCTTTTAGCAGGAATAGCCAATGGAGGGGGTCCGACTGAGCGTTCCTGTTTTCCAGCAAGCGGTTGAGTCTAAGCCGAAATCTTAGCTTGTGGGTGAACGAGAGTTGGGTCCAAACCCTGGGCTGCCAGAAGAACGGACCTCCACCTCCAGACTCGGCTCCAGGCATCCTCGAATCGCTGGCCTGGTGAGTGAGCGTTTCTATGCCGGGCGTTTGTTGACCCCGGCCAGCGTCACCCAGGAGAGCCCATCTCCAGATCGAGACATCCGTTCTGTAGCGTTTGTTGGGGGGACAGATTTCTTGGATGGGTGCACCTTGGGTGATCTTGGGTGTAGGGTTGTTCTTGGACTCTTGGACCTGATACTCAATATATCGGTATATTATCAAACCAATCCTATAGATGTTTTCCCGGGAAGTGTATGTCTTGGTCCATTCAAAGAGAAACTGGGCGAGATCCAACCAACATGTTAATGTTGACCCTTTTCTCTTTGGATTTGAAATTACCATGCCCAAGTCGACTATGCCTCTAGTGGTGTGACTCATGAACTGCAAGCGTGGTACTGGAACCAGCTTTGACCTGTTTTCGCATTCTGGGCACTTTGTACCACAAAGCCACTCTTGAATTGGCTACGACTACGATATGCATTTTCAGCTCCAAATCTGCTCAGTCCTGATTGTTGCAAAACAACAACCTAGCATTTGACCCTGCTTTCCGGATTTGATGTCGTTTGAGGATTTTTGAGGTTGGTTTGATGAACCTTTGATTGTTTACGCGAACAAGAACGACCACATGCAAACAAGTCTAGCCTGAGTGGCACATGCCATCAAAGACTGTCAAAGGATCTTTGGTTTGAACTACATTACAGTACTTGGCATCATGCCTTCCCGCCAAGCCTGCAAACGCCGTGAAAATACTGCAAAAAACGGGGCCTAATTTTCGGGAAGATGAACCATCTCGGACTCTCGATGCTGCCGAGATCGTGTTCTGGGGATTCTTCCGCCTCGATCTCGGCAAATCTGGCCCGACATGACGACGGATTCAAATAAGTCAACAACCAAACCATAGAAAGAAAAATATCCATGTAGTACGAACATGTACGGACAAAGATGTTGGATAGGATAAATGCATGTCAGTCATAGTGGTGCCGAAAAGAAACTACAGTGTCCCAGTGCAGATGCATTTGCAAAAGGGACGTGTGTTTCTCCATTGGGGCTCACTAAGTCAATTTGTTCCTTCTGGCTCAGCGGTGGCCCCCACATCCATTGGAATTCAACTATACGTTTTGCCTCGTCTATTTACAAAGGTCCATGTTCCGAAAGTTTGTAAACAGTGAGAAGTTATTCATCCCATGTTCATCCCCCATCTCAGGTGGTGGAAGACTTCTCAGGAGGTGCATTTCCTGAAGAAGTCTTGCACCGCCTGAGATGGCGGATGCGCGCACCTCCCGAGTCTCTGCCCAGAATCGAATGACAGCCCTCAGGAGCGCCAAGCACAGGAGCACCGGCCCTTGCTGTGGATGGACGTGCAAGGCACCCGGGCGTTGTGCCGTTGTTGCAAGGCACCCCACGCACTGTGCATGTCCTGAATGACTCCCTCCACTTTGTGCATGAAGGCCAGAGCATTGGCCCAGAGCATGTTGTTTTTGAATTGCTTTTCGTTTTCCCCCACCGTTGAGATGGTGGATCTTGTGTGAGAATGGAATAGGAGTGAAACATATCGGTTGGGCATGGTTGGGCTACATCGGAACCGCGCAGAACGCGAAACGGTTTGAAGCAGGTTCTGCTTCGATCCGAGCAAGCAGAACGTGTGCATCGGTGGGCAAAAACCGTTGCCCCAAACCTGGAAACTTTGGTGAATCCAACAAGTGGGTACACCGCGGAAGATGAACATGGAACCTGGACCAGACTGAAAGACCTCCCATGGGTTGTAGAGGACAAAAAAATCCTCGTCCATTTTCAGGTTCCATGCTAATCTTCCAGGGCGTAACCTGCAAGGCTGTGTTTTGGGGGAGTGTTTCCCTAGCAGAGAACCAGGTGAGGCTTGCTCTACTTGAGAAATAGATCACAATTCAGATCCTGATCAAGAGATTAAACATGATGAGACGTTTGTTGCTTGGGGATGTTCATACAGGTTTCCCGTAGTTGGTGAATCTATTCCAGTGCCACCAAGATACATGGCATGCGCACTCATGACATGTACGGAGCCTGCGAAGTCGTGCAGCCTGCGTCTCCCGGAGCTCATGCCCTAACGGGAGTGATTCAGAGCAGCATTTGAAGATTTTGAAGGGCCTGCAGCGCCTCCAGGAGGAGGAATTACAGTTGACAGATGTTGACAGGGTAGATAAGCTTTCTTTTGGGCGTTTGCCTGAGAATACTCAGTCAGGCTGGCTAGTCAGGTAGTTCTTCAGGTGGCCACTTGTTTGAAGCTCATGCTAGTTTGCTTCCTGTCCGGGGCGGTTGCCGCAGAAATTCTACAAAACGAGTTGGATCAAATCGTCCAAAGTGAGAAACCAGTGAGGGCTTTGAAAGAGCGCCAAACGGTGAGTGTGGACAGGCTTTCCTCGGTTTCGGCAGAAGCTCTTCCAGGACAATACGTGCTTGCAGGATGATGCCCCCCTGGCGCTGTCAGATCATCAGATCTGCAACTGGTGACTGGTGATATTGGATTTCCAAGAAGCTGGAGCTGCCCCGATCCGGCATGTGCAGAGGGTCGTTTGGATGAAGTAAAAAGAATGCTTCAAATGCCACATGATCCCAATATGCGAGATCCAGAAAAACACCGAGCCGCCATTTGGAAGTGGCGCAACTGCTGGAAGCAGGTGCTGACACTGATGCTGGACTCTCCCGCTTCACTGCTTTGCACGTAGCAAGCGATCATGGCCACTTAGAGGTGGTGCGCGAGTTGCTTCCGGGCAGGAGCAGACAAGGATGCAGCTTCACTCGCCGGTAACATTGCTTTGCATTTAGCAAGTGATAAAGGCTACTTGGAAGTGGTGCGAGAGTTGCTACAGGCAGAAGCCGACCAGGATTTTCAGAGCACCAATGGTTTGACAGTTTTGCACGTGGCAAGTGAGAAAGGCCACCTCGAGGTAGTGGGAAAGTTGCTTTTGGCAGGAGCCAGCAAGAATCTTGAGACTTCCGGTGGTGGTACAGCTTGGCACTTGGCCAGACGGGCGCAACGTCTCAAAGTGCTGCAAGCTCTGGAGCGAAAGGAACTGCCCTGATTTGTTTTGTGAAACAGCTACAAACAGCTACCAGTACACACCTTTTTGTGCCAAGACCTTCCCCTCCTCACCATCCTCAAGGTCCCATTGTGCCTCCAACCTACTAGCGATGGCCTCCAGCCTACTAGCGATGGCCTCCAACCTTCTAGCAAGGGCCTCCAACCCAATTAGTACTTGAGTGGGCACACATTTACGTCCAAAAGTCCTTCTGTGGGTCTGGGGAGCGCCTTTTTGGGCTTCTCTTGCCAGGCCGCGAAGAGGCGCCGAACAAGTCTTACCTGAACCGTGCTGAGGCGTATTTAGTCAGGGGCTGGCGCCGCCGGGTGGGCTTTGAAGAACAGCTTTGTCAAGAGGTCCTTTGGTGAATTGGATGTATTTGGCATTTGGAGCATTTTTGCTGCACTTGGGGACTTGAATCCTTGGATGAGGGCTCCTTAGCTGTTCAGTTTGACTCTATAACCACTTTGGCACCAAGCAGCCGGAAATCGTTGGAGCGCTGATGCACTGACAAGCTGACAGGAACAAAGGATCATGCCAGATGATAGTGATTATATATATATAAGTAGTTTGCAGTGTGCAGCATGCTTCCCCTGCAGCATCTAGTACGTCTTATCACCGCTTGGATCTTCAATGATGAAGTTTGCTAAATACCAAAGACCCAAAGAGGGGGTTGACTTGTGTTCGGACATTTCAGAGGTATGGGCAATATCTCAACATAGAGCTCAAAGCATCCCGATGATTTCAGCCTTTGGATCAGTCATGAAGAAAATGGGGGAACCAACATACTGTTGATGGACAAAATCCTGCACCACTTTGCGCAGAGTTTTCTTGCTGCCCTCCTTCTCCCTCGTTAACATTGGGGCCACCACGGTGATAAAACCAAAACAAGCTGAAGATCCAAAATCCTGCACCACCTCGTCAGAGGCGTCGTGCCAACATTGAATGAGGGGGCGCAGGGGTTGCTATGCATGCCTTCCAGGGTAAAGTGGTGAGGTGGTGCAGGATTTCGTCCATCAACAGTCTCGTTTCATTACTTTTCTCTACCCAGCTTGTTGTCCGGTGTTAGTTTTTCGACCAGCCCCACCTGATTCCAACGATGAGTTCACGCCTTGGATGAGTGCGGCAGACGTGGAGTTGTGGGTTCACTCGTCCCTATGTAGGGCCTCAAATCTGGGATTGGTTTGGGATTTCATCAATCGAATCTGGGGCTGACTCGAGTTTACCACAGTCAGTCAGTCATTTGATTTGTTGGACTTCAATGCTTCGTTGAGTCTTTGGCGGTTTCTCATGAAGCCTGGCATCAAGCGCGGAATCCACCTCAATAGAAGAAAATGCAAAGAATCCAACCAGGCCTGGTGTGGGCACGAACCTTGTAAATAGAGTAAGCATTGTGGGATGAACAATTAACAATCGCACCGTCGGATACTACATATACAGACGTATATACATGAGGGTTCTTTCTTCTTCGCAATGCCCTCACAAGTCCTTGTCCTCCCCTCAAGAAGAACATTGCAGAACCTTCAGTCCAGAAGGTCCAGTAAATTCCAGTAACATTTATGTAATACCAGTTCATAGTTTGTAGACCACATTTGCGACCACTCTCGTACACATCCATCCATCCATCCATCCATCCAGCCAGCCAGCCAGCCAGCCAGCCAGCCATCCATCAAGACCTAGGACACCTGCAGGACCCATGGTGTCAAGCTTGTTTGGGTGTGCAAATTGGGAGACCTCCCAGTTGGAAGCTGAACATGCACCAGTCTCATTGCATGGGTCTCCCTATGTCTCCGTATGTGATAAATATGTATACACACTCATGGTGTCCCCAGTCTACCCATCACACGAACGGACCCTTCTACCAGCAGACCCCGAGGTCAGCGCTTGTGTGCGCGTGGCGACGCGACTCCGAGAGCGGATCGGGCGCGGGGAGCGTTGGGGAAGCGTTGGGAGCCCGGTGTTGGGGGGCCCGGCGGTTTGGAAAAATGCCAAGAGCAAGTGCGAACCAGTGAAGGATCCGAATGATCACTTCTTATAGGCATCCACCCCTCGTACCTTTTCAGGTACCACTGGACTCTCACTGGACCTCGGGGTTGGTAGATGTTGGTGGGTTTTTGAGGTCCCATCTTAAGATGAGGGCAGTAGGCGTCGGAAGAGCTGCATGCGTTGGTATGTGCTTGTTGAGCTGATGCGGGACATGAGGAAATGAGTTGTTATCATTTTTGCTCTAACTGTTGACAATCAAGTTGACAGTTGATTAATAAGAGCCTCCTTGCCAGGGTGGTTCTAAATCTCCCTCGGACTCCATCGGGGTGTATTAATCAACCGTCAAACTTACTGGTCATTGTCATTGCAGATGGTTTTCTGTGGATCTTAACAGACAAGGGCTAGGCTAGCAATCAGTGGTGCACTGAATTTGATTTCAACGTGGATTCCTTTCAAGTGCATCGACATGCATGTTTGTGCTTAACCGGTCCCTATTTTCAATACATGTTGCATGGTGTCGGGTGAAAAACTCATGTATGTGCTTGTTTGCAGATGTTCGGATGAGCCATTGTACGTCGCAGGAGAAAAAGAAGCTGCCGAGACCTTCAAAGCATCAGATTTTTTGGACTCAAAACTCAGTTTTTGAGCGTTTCGACATCATAAACCTCGCGAAACCCTGGCCTGCGCAGTGAATTTGAAGTTGTTGTTTGGCAAAAAGAGACACATATGATATAAGAGGTTTGTTGGTGGGAGGATCTCCAATCTGCAAGTCAAGCATTGTAAAGTTGTAGGTTCGAAGCCACGTTCGGGTTGTTAGTGATTTTGTAGATCTTTTAGTTTGTTGGCATGAACCGGCGAGGAAAAGGCATGGCGGTTTTCCAGCCAGCAAATCAAGGAAGAGCCAGGTCCTGGCTCAGATGATTGCCATGCGTACGCCGCCAACCAGCGTACGCAGCCGACCGCAGTCGACCGCAGGATTCGTAGGTGGTTCCCCACATGGGTCGTAAGAGTCAGGCTCGCAGGCTCCGGCGGTGCTCCGGGCTCTCCGGGCTTCGGAGGTTTGGCCGGCCAGGTGTAGGTGATCAACTGGTGGTTTCAAACGATTTCAACCTTTACTTTGAAAGATTGAACCCACTGATTGACACCAACCAGCCAAGAATTGGCCTCCATCCGTGCCTTCGGCAGTGCCTGAAGAGGCTGTATCCTCCACCGGTTCGCTGTCAAGCCAGGATGGAGCCTTCGGTGGCATTGCTGACCTTCTACAAAGGACGGATGCGTCCATCATGTTGACATGATGTCACATCATCCAAGCGAGGTGGAACTCGACCTGAACTAGGACCCTATAATTACTGGGATACTCAATTGGGATGGTCGGGTTCGTCAGCCTCTGGTGGATGTGCTGGCATGGGTTAAATTGAATTAACTCGTACCCTCCCATATTCATATGTGCCCCACTTTGCTGCTGGTACGTAGCTGGCATCTCGTTCCATGTGACTTGCTGCCTCCCTGGACAAGCAACATCGTCGGCGAGTTGGGGACGGACGTGGCGAGGAAGACTCACCCCAAACCTTAACCCCAAACCATACTTGCACTGGGAGATGAGTTGATGAACATGCAATTCCTCACATGACTGCAGGGGTTCCCTCACAGAACTCTCAGAAGGTATCGGAAGGTCTTCGTTTTTGAGACCATCAGAATCAGACGTTGCTTTGTGTGTGTCGCACCAATCATCAATGCCAGAAATCCTTCCCGGCATCCTACGTCGCCGCTGTGGCTTTTTTGAGCGCTTTGTGCTGAAAGAGACTGGCCCGCTTTTCCAGGTCGTGTTCTGCTTTTCGACATGTTGGATCATGCAAGGATCTCTTCGACATTCTTCTACAAACCCAGTATGAGGGGAACCACTCGGTGACGAATGACGTTTTGGGTGATCACTATTCATCATGTAGAAGATCCTTGGACAACACTGGACTGCTGATTGCCGGAACCAGCGTTGGCCATGCAGTGCCCCCGCTGCCCGAGTGAGGACACGGTGGGATGACCGGTGTCGCCCCAAACCGTAAAACCCTTTTCTTGCGTGGGGCGATGCAAGTCTTCTCCGAGATTCGAATGCCACAGGTCCTGGGGAGGTTGATCTTGAATTCAGAAGTCTTGGACTATTGTAGCCCATGTTCTTTCACGAACAGTTGGTCCCAATTTGATGTGGCCAGTGGCCTCAAGCCAGAAGGCACCTGGTCTTTTTGGGTTTTGGCCGTGTTGACCTCGCCGTTTTTGACATCGTGGTTTGCTAGCTTGGCCGATGGAAACAACCAGGTTGTTCTAAGCATGTTGAAGGTTCCGTCGTGTGGCGTCATGTTTTGGTCTTTGATGTCGGAACGAAGACAGAAGGCACTGACTGGATTAGCTACTATAGTATCAAAGGGCATCGCTACTAGGAGCAAGAAGCTACTAGTAGCTCCTGGCATTACTACTAGGAACAAGAAGCTACTAGTAACCACTGAACTTGACTTTTTCCGAAAAGAGCAGGGCACAGGGCATCATGCTGGCGGGATGGGTGCTACCTCCGCGAGTGTCAACCCTCACAGTCACTGCAATCCTTGCATCTATTGGGCCTCAGCTCGCGGCTGTTTCAAGGAGAACTGTGCCTGGGCGGAACGGCCCAATCCTTTCTCGAACCATGAGCTACCGCGCTACCGCGAAAGCGCGAGATGAGTCTTCGTGGCAAATCCACACCTTGAATCGGAGCTGCTCATGTATTGCATTATAAATATCAGTTTCCTCCAACTGAGAAGTACACTCCCTGAACTTGGCTTCGTGGAGTTCCACCACCCGTTTGGTATTCAGAACATGATCATCCAAGGTGACATGTTCCACGTACCCATGATCGTTCCACGTTCAGTGTAGCTATGCTTAAATGAGTCTTTCATATGGTAAGGCCAGGATTCATTGATTAAACAAAACAAAAACGAAATCAACATTCGAAAACGACTCGAACAAGTCAAATAAAGGTCAAACAACAAGCATTAATCTACAGTCGTTTAATCTCGAGCAATTCTCTGCAGTTGTTTTCGCACCCTGCCCGTGCCACGCCTGGCCCAGCGGCCGAGGCAGCTTTTGCCACGTTCACCATCCCTTGCTGGTGGACCATGGGCGTCCCAGGAGGGCCAAACGAGAGGCCATCAAGCTACAAATATTTGAGCATTTCCAAGTTCAGGACGAAGATGAGAGGCGCAGCATGGCGGAGCGCACGGGAAAACGGTCGGACAAAATGAACAACAAATTGGGTGGCACCCGGGAGAGGATAGCAGCAATGGCCTCCACCCTAATAGCATCAGTGCTGCTAGTAGTAATGGCCTCCACCCTAGCACCGTCCTTGCTACTAATAGTAGTGGCCACCATAATAGCGATGGCCTCCACCCTAATAGCGTCCTTGCTACTAGTAGTAGTGGCCTCCACCCTAGTAGCTTCTTGCTACTAGTAAGAATGGCCTCCACTCTAGAAGCAATGGCCTCCACCCTAGTAGCTTCATGCTACTAGCAATAATGGCTTCCACCCGAGAAGCAATGGCCTCCACCCTAGTAGCTTCTTGTTACTAGTAACCTCCACCCTAGAAGCGATGGTCTTCACCCTAGTAGCTTCTTGCTACTAGTAGTAATGGCATCCACCCTAGAAGCGATGGCCTCCACCCTATTAGCTTCTTGCTATTAGTAGTAATGGCCTCCACCCTAGTAGCTTCTAATGGCCTCCGCCCTGGAAGCGATGGCCTCCACCCTAGTAGCTTCTTGCTACTAGTAGTAATGGCCTCCACCCTAGAAGCAAGGGCCTCCACCCTAGTAGCTTCTTGCTACTAGTAGTAATGGCCTCCACCCTAGTAGTTTCTTACTACCAGTAGTAGTGGCCTCCACCCTAGTAGCTTCTTGCTACTAGTAGTAATGGCCTCCATCCTAGTAGTTTCTTACTACCAGTAGTAGTGGCCTCCACCCTAGTAGCTTCTTGCTACTAGTAATAATGGCCTCCACCCTAGAAGCAATGGCCTCCACCCTAGTAGCTTCATGCTACTAGTACCTAGAAGCAATGGCCTCCACCCCAGTATCTTCTTGCTACTAGTAGTAATGGCATACAATTTTCAGAATCTACCTTTGACAACTCTGAGCTTTCTTGTGGCACTACTTGATTGGCTCATATGTGCAAAACATCCATCGGCAGGCAAAGGCTCTTGCAAGAGGAGGCTGCGCAGCATCCTTTTGCCTGGAACTTTGTCAAGGGTCTCTTGGACAACCCGGCCTTCAATGTCAGAAAAGTGGGTCAAGATCTTGTTTTTTCCTTGTAGGTCGCCTCTGAACCTGACGGGTGTTTACCAGACGGGAGTTTACCCAGCAGGAAGATGCGCTTACAAGCCGCAGTTTGATTTCAATGCAAGACCTACCTAGGCTCCTAGGCTCCTAGGCTCAGGTATTATATACAGGGCATTCTGCCCACGGTCTCTTGCTGTGAGTGGTTTCTTCCATCACCAACCACTCAGTGTGCATGGGAGAGCAGCAGAAAGTTCCCCAGCAGTGCTGTACAGGTTGTTAGTTTTGGGCCAGTGCCTGCAGACAGAGGTGTCTCAGAAGCAGGTTTAACAGCGACAAATGCGGTATGCACAGTTGGGTGATTTGAAAGGATCTGACTGAAACACCCTTAACCTTGCTTAGATTTAAAACGACCCCGCCGTCTTTAGATATGATTCAGTATTTTTTTACGTGTAAATAATCGCTCTCCATTGAATCACCCAGAATAGGGCATTCACTGCCATTTTGTGCCAGTGAGTACAGTTCCCCAGCTGTAGAGAGTATGTACAGTGCTTTGCTGTAATTAGAGGCCTCCTTGAAGGCCCTCTAGAACCTCTCTGTTGGTAGAACAAAGCCGTGTTCTTCGGTTCTCGGATTCTTTCATGGATTGGGCATGCTCCTTAGACTTTGGGCCAATTGTTTGTTGACAAGCATTTTCCCGAACCTCATCGTCAGCCTGATGATTGAATAGTTTGACTTTGGCCGGTGGGGTTGCATCTTGCCCCGCGCGGTGTTGCTGATCTTGGCTGCTCGGCATGTGGAAGTTGGCTGCTCCGCCGCTTCAAACGCATTGGCCGATGGGATTTGGGCTAACATGGGCAGAAATTTTAATCAGCCGTTGGCCAGTCCCACGTTGAAGTTGAAGTTGGCTACAGAAATAGCTTGCTACATGACAAACAAATTGCAGTCGTACCAGATGGAAGCATCCAGTTGACCATTGAATGGTTTTGGTTTCACCTATCAGTCTGCATATATCAGATGGTGATGATGTGTTTATTCTTTTTAGAACACAGAACTCAAGATGTTTTTGTTTATCCTTCACGGGGTTTCCTGGAGGCGTGGGTATCAGTGGCATGGATTTGTTGAAGGATCGACGCAATGTGGCACTGACGCGACCTGCTGAAAAAAGATTGAACCTGTGAGTTGCTTCCATGTTCTTCTTCCATCCGACTCTGGATCCGATTATATACTGAGGAAGACTTGAGGAAGACCCGGGCCATCGGGAGGACCATCCGTTGTGGTGCGGCATGTCTCATCAACGATCCCACATTGACACATTCAGAATCACATATTCAGAAAGCCTTTGATCTTCCACGTCACAATGGACCAGTGATTCCAATTTGCCACTTTTATTACATATATAATGAATTATAATCATATACATATGTATATACATATAACAACTATTGTATTATAAATACTTAATTTATAATTGTATAATATGTATGATTCAGTGTATGCAATGTATGGGGGTTCAGAGGCCTCAGTTTTTTTGTCCAGGAACGATACTCACTATACCTGGGTGCCGAACTTGCCACCCCTGTCACATCCACGGCCTCTGGATGTGAGGAGCCAAAGCGCTCGGAACTGATGGTCTTGTGTTGATCATGTCTTGTAGTGTACAAACATATACATATACATAATATATGTATTATATATATACACAGTAATTATGTAGTATAATATATATATATATACATACGAGATGTTCCCACCATTCTAATCAATTTGATGATCGACGGAAACCTTCAACCTTCAGATTCTCGACCTCCAGGTCGCTGTGTTTCTTTCTCCAAAAGAATCCACAGCTGACACTTGAAGACGCGAGACGTGAAACATGCACACTTGGAGTTCAGCGTGTGACATCCAAGACACCGAGCGTGTGCTAAGCTTCCACGTGACGTCGGGGCACCGTCACCGAGCGTGTTTGGAGTCGTTT